TCCAGTGTCACTGCTCTCGCTCTTGTGACGGACCCCCCGCCCCTCCCCCCCCGAGGGGGTTTACAGTCGTGAGGGAGAGAGGGGTCCAGTGTGAGGGAGCGAGACGGGGGTCCGAGTCGAGAGGGCGTGAGTGGGGTCCGGTCGGTGGTGAGGCGAGAAGAGGGGTCCGAGTCGTTGACGGAACGAGAGGGGGGTTCCGAGCGTCGAGGGAGAGAGAGAGGGGGCCCAGTGACGAGCGAAGAGGGGGAGGAGGGTCCCGCTGTGTGCGGGACCGAGGGGGTCCCGAGCGTTGTGCGGAAGAGGTAAGAGAGGGGGTCCGACGAGAGGGGGTACACCAGCTCACGCGCGAGGGCAGGAGAGGTGGGCCGTCCAGGGTGAGGGAGGAGAGGGGCCCCCAGGGTGAGGGGCGAGACGAGGGGGGTAGCCGACGTCTACGCTGGAGGACGAGAGGCCGGGGCCGATGGGTGTGAGGGAGAGTCAGTGGGGGGGTCCAGTGTGAGGGAGAGAGGGGTTCCAGTGTGAGGGACGAGTGGGGGCTCCGAGTGTCGAGAGCGGGACGATGACGGTGCGGCAGCACACCAGTGAGAGCGCCGAGAGGAGAGGGCGGCGTCCAGTGTCGCCGCTCTGCGCGCCGAGTAGGCGGTCCAGTTCGTGAGGGGAGAGCAGGGGGGTCCAGTGCTGGACGTGACGAGAGGAGGGACCAGTTGTGAGGGAGAGGGGGGGTCCAGTGTGAGGGATGAGGGGGGGACCAGTGTGCAGGGGGACGCCAGAGGGCGGCGTCCAGTGTGAGGGAGAGAGAGAAAGGGGGGTTCCAGTCTCTCCGACTCCCGCTCTGGTGAGGGAGAGCCCCAGGGGGTCCAGTAAGTTGAGGGGAGAGATGGGAGCGCTCCCCCCCCCCGGAACCCCCCCCCCCGGGCCCCGCGTCGTGAGGGGGGAGAGACGGGGGTTTCCAGTGTGCAGGGACTGAGAGCGGCGCGGGTCCCAGTGTCCGAGGGGAAGTGACGGGGGGCTTACCACGAGTGGGTGAGCGGAAGAGCAGGGGGCCCAGTGTGTGGGGGAGAGAGGGGGGTCCAGTGTGACGGGAGAGAGGGGGTCCCGACGTGGTGAGGGAGAGGAGGGGGGGGCCCAGAGCTGTGAGGGACGAGAGGACTGAGGGTGGCGCTCGCGTGCATTGAGGCGGGAGAGGAGGGGGATCCAGTGTGTGAGGGAGAGAGAGAGGGAGGTCCTAGTGTGAGGGCAGAGAGCGGGGACCGAGGTCCAGTCCGTGAGGGAGACGAGGCGGGGTTTCCAGTGCCTTCCGTGTTGAGGGAGAGAGGGGTCCAGTGTGAGTGAGACGACCGGGGCGGTCTCCCGTCGTGCGGGACCGAGAGGGGCGGTCCGGAGTGTGGAGGGAGCACGCAGGGGGTCTCCAGTGTGGGGCGCCGGAGAGTGGGGGTCCCGTGGTGAGGGAGCACGACGGCGGGTTCCAGTGGTGGGGGACGTCGAGAGGCGGGGTCCAGCTGCTGAGGAAGAGGACGGGGGTCCCTCGGTCGTGGAGGGAGCAGATGGCGGGTCCAGAGTCGTGCCAGGGACTCGATGAGGGGGTCCAGTCGTGAGGCACGGAAGATCGAGTGGTGCCTCGGCCCCCCTGTGGAGGACGATGAGGGAGGTCCAGTGTAGAGGGAGAGAGGGGGGTTCGCAGTGCTGAGGCCATCGAGCGAGGGGGTCCAGTGTGAGGGAGGAGGCAGGAGAGGGGGGCCCCCCGGTTCCCAGTGTGAGGGAAGAGAGAGGGCGGTGCACGTGTGGAGGGAGGAGAGGGGGTTCCAGTGTGGAGTGCGCCCCCCCGGTACCGGAGTTGAGGGAGAGAGGGGGTCCGGAGTGAGGGAGAGAGAGGAGTGGGGTCCCCCACCAAGTAGTGCCAGGGGCAGGGGCGGTTCCGAGTGTGGGGGAGAGCAGAGAGGCGGGCTCCCAGTCCGTTGAGGGAGAGGAGGGGGTCCCCGTCGTTGTGAGGGAGAGAGGGGCGACCAGTGTCGGAGGGGGCGGCACGAGGGGAGGGACCACGCCCTGTGAGGGGACAGGAGAGGGGGTCCAAAGTGTGGAGGGACGGAGTGGCGGGCCCAGTGTGAGGGAGAGCAGGGGGCCCAGTCCAGCCAGGGGAGTGGAGGCCCCCAGTGAGAGCGAGACAGGGCCGCGGTAGTGGGGGAGAGGGGGGGGACGGAGTTAGTGAGGACGCGATGCGGCTCGGGCCCGCAGTCTGTGAGGGAGAGAGGGGGGCCCAGTGTGAGGGACGAGAGGGGCCCCAGTGTCGAGGCGACGAGACGGGGGTCCGAGCTTTGTGAGGGAGGGAGGCGCGGCGTCCGGGTTGTGAGGGGAGAGAGGGGGACCCGGTAGAGGGGAGAGAGCGGGGTCCAGTCGTCTGAGGGCAGAGAGGGGGTCCGACCTGTTCGTGAGGGAGAGAGGGCGGCCCGGTTGTGAGGGAGAGAGGGGGGTACCGGCCTTCCTCGTGAGGGATCGAGGAGGGCGGGCTCCCTGACGTCTCGTGTGATGGGGGACGAGGGGGGCCCGGATTGTGAGGGTCGAGACGAGGGGGTCCAGTTGCTGAGGGATGAGAGGGGGACCAGAGTCCTTGTGGAGGGGATCAGAAGGGGCGTCGGTCCTGCGCTCGTGGAGGGGCTCATGACGAGGGCGGCCGTCACGAGTTGCGAGGGAGAGGAGGGGGTCGACCTAGTGTGTGGTGGAGAGAGGGGGTCCCCAGAAGTCGTGAGGGAGAGGAGGGGGGCCCGGTGTGAGGGAGCTGGAGGTGAGGCGGGTCCAGTGAGGGGGACGCGGAGAGCGGGTTCCCGCAGTGTGAGGGAGGAGAGAGGGGTCCTGTGTGTCGGGAGGAGATGGGGGCACAGTCGTGAGGGGAGAGAGGGTGGTTCCCAGTGTGCGGGATGAGGGCGGTCCAGTTGCCCCGTCCTCCTTGAGAGCGAGACAGGGGGTCCGCGTGTGAGCGGAGGAGGGGGCGTCCCGGCGTCCCGAAGTGTGTGAGGGAGAGGAGGGGGCCCCGGCGTGAGGGACGACGAGGGGGGTCCAGTGTTTGTGAGGGAGCAGAGGAGGGGTTCGAGGCCCGTGCACGGGAGAGCGGGTTCAGTGATGAGGGAGACAGGGGGGTTCGACGTGTAGAGGGAGAGAGGGGTTCCAGCCTACGGCTGTGAGCGAGAGGCGGCCCCGGTTGTGAGGGAGAGAGGGGGTCCAGTGTGAGGGAGAGAGGTGGGGCGTCCCAGTTTCGGTGATCGAGGAGAGGGGGTCCGGAGGGTGTGTGAGGGGAGAGAGGGGGCCCCCACCCCCCAGTTGCAGAGAGAAATCCAGAGGGGTACAGTAGATGTGGGGGAGAGAGGGGGGTCCCAGTGTGAGGGGGAGACGGGGCACGGGTCTCAGTGTGGAGGATGAGAGGGGGGTTCCCTTCCAGCTGTGAGGGGAGAGAGGGGGCTCCGGATTTCCTTCGCTGTGAGGGAAGAGAGGGGGTCCGAGTGCTGTGAGGAAGAAGAGTGGGGTCCCAGTGCTCGGAGGAGCCGGAGGAGAGGGGGCCCAGTCCCCTCATGTGGAGGGAGGAGACGGGGGGTCCACGTCGTGGAGGATGAGGGGGCGTCCAGGATCGGTCGAAGGGAGAGGGAGAGAGGGCGAGTTCCAGTGTGACGGGGAGGATGAGGGGGTCCATGTGCCTGGGTGAGGGACTGAGAGGGGGGTCTCCAGTGTGACGGTGAGGGAGAGAGGGGGGTGACGAGTCGTGAGGGAGACGAGACGGGGTCCGATGCCGAGGCGGGTACCCAGTGTCGAGGGGAATGAGAGGGGGCGCCGAGTCGTGGAGGGAGAGAGCGGCGTGCCACAGGTGCTGAGGGGAGAGAGGGGCGTACCAGTGTGAGGGAGGAGCGACGCAGGGCTCCTGCCAGTTGTGAGGAAGAGCGGGGCGTCCCCAGTGTCGGAGGAGACGACGGGGGTGGTCCAGTGAGGAGGCGAGACGAGGGGGTCCGAGTGTGAGCGGAAGAGAGAGGGGGGGCCCCACGTGGCTGACGGCAAAAGCCAGAGAGGGGGGACTCCAGTGTCGACCCCGCGCCGGTGGGACGCCAGTGGATGAGGGTTGCCCGGTGGGTCCCCAAGGTCGTGGAGGGCAAGCTGAGGCGGGTTCCAGTGTGAGGGCCCCGGACGAAGCGGGGGTCCCAGTGGGCGGTGGAGAGGAAGAGAGGGGGTCCCCAAACGTCTTCGACTGTGAGGGACGGAGAGGCGGACCCAGCGTGCGTAGGAGCGAGAGGCCCGGCCCCAAGGTTCGTGACGCACGTGGGGGAGAGAGGGGTCAGAGGCTGACGAGGGAGCAGAGAAGGGGTTCCAGAGTCGAGGGACAAGTCGAGGGCCGGGCGGCGGCTCCAGTGAGAGAGAAGAGAGGGCGGTCCCAGTGTAAGTGAGGGAGAGAGGGCGGTCCATGTCAGTGAGGGACGAGAGGTGGGACCAGTGTGAGGAAGAGAGGGGGCCGCGTCAGGGGGTCGGGCTCCCCCCCCCAGTGCTGCGAGGGAGAGCGGGGTCCGAGTGTGAGGATGAAGAGAGGGGTCCAGTGGTGAGGAGAGAGGGGACCCAGGTGTGAGGGGACGAGAGGGGGCCCAGTCGTGAGGGAGAGAGAGGCCCCAGTGTGAGGGAGAGGGGGGTCCGAGTAAGTGAGCGGGAGAGACGGGGGTCCAGTGTGAGGAAGCAGAGGGGGTCCAGTGTGAGGGAGAGAGGGGGCCAGTGTGAGGGAGAGAGGGGGCCCATGTGTGAGGGAGAGATAAAGGGTCCAGTGTGAGGGAGAGAGGGAGGGTCCAGGTGTGAGGGAGAGAGGGGGGTCGTCAGGAGAGGACGAGAGGCGGTCCAGCTGTGGAGGGAGAGAGGGGGCCATGTGTGAGGGCGAGAGGGGTACAGTAGTGGGGCAGAGAGGCGTCCAGTCGTGAGGGAAGAGAGGTGGTGTCCAGTGTGAGGAAGAGAGGGGCCCGGTGTGCAGAGGAGAGAGGGGTTCAGTCGTGAGGGAGAGAGGGGGGTCGAGTGTGAGGGAGAGAGAGAGCGGGGTTCCAGTGTGAGGGAGAGAGGGGCGGTTCCAGTGTAGAGGGAGAGAGGCGGTTCCAGATGTGTATTGAGGGAGAGAGGGACGTTCCCCGGTGTGACGGGAGACGGAGGCGGGTCCGGTTGTGAGGGAGAGAGGGCGGGCTCCAGTCGAGGGGAGACCGAGGGCGGTCCGAGTGTGGTGCGGAGGAGAGGTGGTCCAGTGTTCGAAGGGAGAGGGGGGCCCAGTGTGAGGGACGGAGAGGGCGGTCCACGTTGATGGGGGCAGGAGGGGTTCCTTGTGTGGGGAGAGTAGGGGGTCCAGTGTGAGGAGAGAGGGGGCCCAGTGCCTGAGGGAGAGAGGGGGACCAGTGTGCGGCGAGCGAGCGGCCCCAGTCGAGAGCTGGAGGGAAGCGGCGCTCGTGAGGGAGAGGGGGGTTACCCCGCAAGTGTGAGGACCGACGAGGGGGGCCGGTGTGAGGGAGCGAGGGGGTCCAGTGTGAGGGAGAGCGGCCGGCCCCCAGTGTGAGGGCAGAGACGGGGAGGGTTCCGAGTGAGAGGGGTAGTGATGGGGGCACCGGGCCGTGAGGGATGAGGAGGGGGTCCAGTGTGAGGGCAGGGATGAGGGGGTCCCGTGTGGAGGGGAGAGGGGGGTACGAGTTCGTTCGTGAGTGAGAGAGGGGGCCCAGGTCGGAGAGAAAGAGGAGGTACAGTGTGGGCGAGAGGGGGGTCCGGGTCTGTGAGGGAGTGAGGGGCTCGGGCACCGGTGAGTGTGAGGGAGAGAGCGCGAGTACCCACGAGTGTGAGGCGAGGAGGGGGTACCGGTCTGTGAGGGGAGAGCGGGGGTCCGGTGTGAGGGCGAGCAGGGGGTCCATCACTCGCGCCGTGTGAGGGGAGGAAGAGGGGGTCCGAGTGTGGGGGAGAGAGGTGGTCTCCCAGTGTGGAGGAGAGAGAGGGGGGCCCAGAGTGAGGGAGAGAGGGGGTCCAGTGTGGGGGAGAGAGGGGTTCCAGTCGTGAGTGTCCGATATTGAGTGTCGCGGTGAGCGTTCATACTCTAGTGTCCTTTTGAAGCTCCCCTGCATGCTTCGGTTCCTGAGCCCTTTGTAATCCGGGCGTAGACCATGCTTGGTGGGACAGCGCCCGCCGAACGAAGCCCTGATGCCCCCCGCTCTCAAGTAGTGAAGCGATGTCATACTACCGAAGATCCCCTTATACCCACCCTGTGTGTTCAGCGGCAGCGACTTCCAAAAAACAGTACCAAGTGTACCCTCCTACCAAGACGCACCAGTCGAGAGCGCACCGACAGAGCGCCGCTGTGAGGAGAGGGAGAGGTCAGAGTGCTCCGACAGGAACGAGGGGGCCCGGTGTGAGGGGAGAGAGGGGCGTCCAGTCGTGCGGGATAGGAAGAGTGGCCCCAGTAGATCGGTGGAGAGAGGGGCGTAACCGTGTGTGAGGGAGAAAGAAGGAGGGCCCGGATAGTGAGAGGGAGAGGGGGGGTCCAGTGAGTGAGAGGGAAGAAGAGAGGGGGGGTCCAGTAGTGAGGGAGAGAGGGAAGTGACCGAGTAAATAAAAAGAACAAACAACAGTGTGCGGGGATGAAACGAAAGGGGGCACAGGTTGGCTGAGAGACAAGAGGGGCATACTGTGTGGGAGGGAAGGGAGCGGTCCCGAAGTGTGAGGGGAGAGAAGGGGGCCCGGTGTGAGGGGAAAGAGAGGGGGTCAGTCAACCAGAGCAAAACTAGATAAAACTAACCAGTAAATAGTGAGGGAGAGAGGGGGAGTACGGTGTGAGGGAAGAAAGAGGGGGTTCCTAAGTGTAGAAGGGAGAGAAGATAATAGGACGAGAGGGGTATCCAGTGATGGAGGAAGAGAGAGGGAGTTCCAGTAAAGCATAAGAATACTGTGAGGGAGAGGGGAGTCCAGTGTAAGGGAGAGAGGGGCGGCCAGTGCTGAGGGAGAGAGAGAGAGGTTCCAGTATGTGAGAGGAGAGAGGGGGACCAGCTCGAGAAGGAGTGTAGACGAAAGGGGTGGGTTCCTGTGTGTAGGGAGAAGAGGGGTCCAGTTAAGGAGAAGGTCGGAGAGAGGGGGTTCCAGTGTGAAGGGAGAGAGGGGGGGCAGTAGTGAGGGAGAGAAGAGGGGGTCCAGTGTGAGGGAAGAGAGGGGGAAATCAGATGTGAGGGAAGAGAGGGGAGGGGTCCAGTGTGAGGGTGAGGGAGGGCTCCGATGACCGGTCCAGTGGTGGAGGAGAGAGGGGAGTCCAGTAGCTACACAAAAAAATGTGAGGGTGAGAGGGGTCCAGTAGTGAGGAAGAGAGGAGAGGGAGCGACAGTGTAGTGAGGATGAGAGGAGGGCCGGTGTGAGGGAGATAAGAGAGGGGTCCAGATAAAAAAAGCTCGTTGGGAGGGAGAGAGGAGTGTATCAAGTGTGAGGTGAGAGAGGCTAAAGAAGGTCCACAGAAAAAAAATGGGAGGAAGAGAGGGTCCAGTTTTTTGAGGGGAGAGAAGGGGCCCCTAGTGATCAGTGAGAGAGAGAGAAGTGGGAGGCCCCCCAGTAGTGAGGTCAGAGAGGGGGGTCCTGAGTGCTACGTGAGAGGGAGAAGAAGGCGGGTCGAGTAGTGAGGAAGAGAGTGGGTGTATCCGATGAGAGAGGAGAGAGGGGGCCCAGGTGTGAAGGGAGAGAGGCGGGCCCAGATGTGGAGGGGAGAGAGGGGAACCGGAGATGGGGAGAGGGGGGTCCATGCTGTGCTTGTGAAGTAATGAATGTGAGGAGAGAGGGTTCGGGTCGAAGTGTAGAGGAAGAGAGGAGAGGTCCAGTGTGAGGGAGCGAGGGGAGATATACATAGTGTGAGGAGATCAGAAAAGAGAGAGGGTACAGTGTGGGGGAAGAGGGGGGCTCCAAGTGATGAGGGCTGAGGGAGGTAGGTCAGTGAGAACCGGTACGTTGAAAGGGAGAGAGGGGATCAGTGTGGTGGGAGAGGAGGGGGTAAACCGAGTGTGATGGAAGAGAGGGAGGAATCCAGTGTGAGGGCGACGGAGGGGGGGTCCTATAGTATAAGTGTGGGACGTAGAGGGGGGATCCTCAGAGAGTGAAAGGGAGAGAAGGGGGGTCCCAGTTGTGAGGAAGAGGGGAGGTCCGAATTGTGAGAGAGAGAGAGGGGCCTCCAGATGATAGTGATGGGAGAGAGGGGGATACGAGTGTGAGGGAGAAGAAGGGGCCCAGTGTGAGGGAGAGAGGAGGGGTCCAGTACTGATTGAGGGAGAGGGGCGGTATCGAGTGTGGGGAGAGAGAGGGGGTCCGAGTGTTGGGGGAAGAGAGGGGGGACCAGTGGGAGAGTGCGATGAGGGGGTATATCAAGGTGTGAGGAAGAAGAGGAGGTACAGTGTGGCGGAGAGTAGGAGGGGGTCCTGCCGCCCAATTGAAAGTGAGGTAGAAGGGGGGTCAGTGTGAAGGGAGGAGAGAGGGGCTCTCAGTGTGAGGGAGAGGTGCGGTGACCCTAAGAGTGTGAGGAAGAAGAGGGGGTCCTCAGTAAGAAGGCGGGAGAGAGGGGGTCCCTACGTGTGAGGGCGAGAGAGGAGAGGTTTCCAGTGTGAGGGAGAAGGACGGGGGTCCAGAGTGAGGAGAGACAAGGGGGGGTACGATATGTGAGAGAGAGACAGAGGGGTCAGCGAAAAAAAAGCAATGTTGTGAGGGAGTAGAGGGGGCCCCAGTGTGACGGCTCAGAGAGAGGGGAGTCTGTAATTGAGAGAGGGAGAGGGGGGTCAGTCGTTCGAGGGAGAGAGGGGGGTCCAGTGTGGGGAGAGCGGGGGATCGAGAACACAACAAGCGAAATGTGAGGGCGGAGAGAGGAGGGGAGGCCAGTGTGCAGGGAGAGAGGAGGTGTCCTGAGATAGGTGAGGAAAGAACCAGAGAGGGAGTCCAGTAGTGAGAGATGAGAGAGAAGGGCCCTGTAACAGCCGAGAGCAGGAGACACAGAGGCCGCAGTTAGGGGAGAGGGGGGTAATATGAGTCAGATGCAGGGAGAAGAGGGGGCCCAGATAGTGAGGAGAGAGAGAACCCAGAGAGGGGGCCCAGATGACTGAGACAGAATGAGGAAGAAGGGGAGGCCCCTGACGCAAATAACAAATTGAGGGAGAGAGAGGGGCCAAGGGACCCCTAGTCGTGAGGGAGAGAGGGGGAGGTCCAGAGTCCAGGGAGGCGGACAAACGGTGGCTGAGAAAAGTGGGAAGTTAAGACACTCTTGCCTGTTCAGCAAGAAGGTCCTGGGTATCGAATCACCGGCCAGAACCCGGAGTCCTTTACTGAGTGGAGTTTGATCTCTCTGTCTTTTCCTCATCCTCTACCACCACGCCGTTGATTGATGATATAGCAAGAAGAGATCAAATCTCCACTCAAGTAAAGGCCCTGGTCTGGCCGGGATACCGAAACCCAGAGACGAACCTTCTTGCTGAGCGGAAAGAGTCTAGCATATATCACTTCAGCCTACCGTTGCCGCACCACTCTATGTGGACAACTGGACCCCCTCTCATACCCTACACACTTGGGCCCCCTCTCTCCTCACACTGGGACCCCCTCTACACTCCCTACAAACGGGCCCCTCTACCTCCCTCACAACTAGGGGCTATCCTTCCTACCAAGCACACTCGGATCACCCCTCTCCCTAACCCCAAAAAAAAAACAGGCAGGCACCAGTCACGCTCTACACTGAGGGACCCTTTATCTATAAACTTCGCCTCCCCACTGGACTCCTCTACTACCTACACACCGGACCCCCTCTACTTCCCTCACACTGGCCCCCCCTCTATCCCCAGACACTCGAACCCCCCGCTCCCTCACACGGGACCCCCGCCTCTCCCTCCACACTGGACCCCCCCCGCTACCCATCCACAACTGGACCCCCTCACTGCATCCCTCCATCACTGGCGACCCCTCTCCCGTTCTCACACTGCGACCCCGCCTCTCTCTCCACATCGCGACCCTAACCTCTCCCTTCACACTGGACCCCCCCGTACGCCCTGTCACAACTGGACCCCCGCTTCGCTTACCGCATACACAGGCCACCCCCTCTCTCCCATCACACTGGACCCCCTCTCTAGGTCCGTCCCACTCGCACCCCCACTCATCCCTCTCACACAGGGAGACCCCCTCGCATCCCTCCACACCTGGACCCCCCTCTCCCGCACACTAGGTCACCCCCTCGACCCCCACACTGAAAAAGTACCCCCTCTCCTCTCACACCCGACCGGAGACCCCCTCTCTTACCCCCCCCCACACTGTGCCCCCCTCTGTCTCCCCCACACTCCGACCCCCTCCTCTCCCCTTCACACTCGAACCCCCCCCCTCACCTCGACACTGGGACCCCCTCTCTCGCCCTCACACAATAGGGGCCTCCCTGCTCGCCCTCACACTGGACCACCCTCTACATCACTACTTAACACTGGGCCCCTCTCTCTACTCTACAATACGGGCCCCCCCTCTCCCGCACACGGGACCTCCCTCTCCTCCCTCACACTGGGACCCCCTCCCTCTCCCTCACACAGGGACCCCTCGCTCCCTCACACGAGCTGGATCCCTACTCGCTACCACACTAGACTCGGACCCCCCGACATCCCTACACACTGGGACCCCTCTCTCATCCCTCTACACTGGCCCCCCTCTCCCTCACGACTGGGACCCCACCTCTCTCCCACCCTCAACGAACATGGTACCCCTCTCGCCCTCGCACCACAAGAGAGCGCCCCTCACTCTATCTCAAACTCACACTGGACCCCCTCTCTCTTCCGCACACCTCAAGGACCCCCCATCGCCCTCACACTGGACCCCCATCTCTCCCCCACACTAGTGTACCCCGCTACTGCCCTCACACATGGGTCCCCGCTCTCCCTATCCACACTGGGGCCCCCTCTTGACTCCCTCACGACGACCCCCTCTCCCCGACCGCACACATGGAACCCCCTCTCTCTCCTCACACTCGAGACCCCCCTAACTCTACCCTCACACTCGGGCCCCCTCCTCTCCTCACACTGGGGCCCCTCGTCTCCCTCACAACTGGGGACCCCCCTCTACGCCTACACACTGGGACACCCTCTCTCCTCCGCACACTGGGACCCACTCTCCTACCCTACACACTGGGACCCCCCAGAAAACTTCGCACTCACAACCCGGCACCCCCTGTCTACTATCCTCACACCGGGGCCCCCCTCTCGATTCTCGCACACTGGACTCCCCGCTTCGTCCGCAAGCTGGACCCCCTCGCTCCTCAGAACACAGGACCCCCCTCGCCCGCACACATGGGATCCCCCTCTTCCCTCACACTGGACCCCCCTCTCTCGCCTCCACTACACATCTGGAATCCCTCCTCTCTCTCGCATCAGTCACATGGACCCCTCTCCATTCCCTCACACTGGCCCCCCTCTCGCCCTCACACTGGAAGACCCCACCCTCTCTCCCACACACTGGAACCCCATCTCCAGACCATCTCTCCCTCACCACTGGAACCCCCTCTCGCCTCACTCACACTGGGCCCCCTCTCTCCGCTCCCTTCAACTGGAACCCCCACTCTCTCCTCACACTGGGACCCCCTCTCTTCCCTCACCACTGGACCGCCCTCTCCCTCACAACTTGGAAACCCCTCGCTCCTCCACACAGAGAGAACACTCCTCTACTCCCGCACACTGGAGACCCCCTCTCTCCCGCTACTCAACACCGGACCACCCTCGCGCTCACCTCACTACACTGGACCATCCCGCTCATCCCTCTCACCGAACCGAGCCCCCTCGTCGCACCAGTCACAGACGCCGGACCCCCCCCTCTCCCCAACACTGTACCCACCTCTTTGTGTCATCTCCAACTGCGCCCCTCATCTCATCACACGATCACGACTCGGACCCCCCTCCTCTCCTCTCTCACACTGGCCCCCTCAGTCTCTCCTCACACTGGACCCCCTCTCTCCCTCACACCCGGCCCCCTCTCTCCCTCCCACACTCGGACACCCTCGCTCTCCTCACTCAACATGGGGCCGACTCGCTCTCCCTGCACACTGGACACACCCCCTCTCTCCTCACACCGGCCCCCTCTCTCCCACACACACTCGACCCCCCTCTCCCTCACATGCGCCCGTCTCGTCGCTCACACTGGGCCCCGCTCTCCCTCACACTGGGCCCCCTCTCTCCCTCACACTGGCCCCCTCTCTCCCTCACAACTGGACCCCTCTCTCCCTCAAACGGAAACCCCCGCTCTCCCCCACACTGGACCACCCCTCTCTCCACTCACACTGGGCCCCCTCTCTCCCTCACACTGGACCCCCACTCTCTCCCCCACACTCGCCACCACCCTCTCTCCCTCATCACTGGACCCCCTCTCTCTCCCTCAACCTGACCCCCTCTGACTCCCTCACACCGGACCCCCTCTCTCCCCACACTGGACCCCCCTCTCTCCCCTCGACACGAGGCCCCCTCTCTCCCTCTCACACTCGGACCCCCCTCCCCCCACACTGTACCCCTCTTTCTCTCCAACTGACTACCCCTCTCTCCCACACACCGACCCCCTCTCCCTCACACATGCCTCCCCTCTCTCCCTCACACTGGACCCCCTCATCTCCCTCACACCGGCCCCACCGCTCCCTCACACTCGGACCCCCCTCTCTCCCTCACACCTGGGCCCCCTCTCTCCCTCACACTGGACCCCTCTCTCCCTCACACGGGCCCCCCTCTCTCACACACTCGCACCCCCTCTCCCTCACAGCGCCCGCCCTCTCGCTCCTCACTGGGGACCCCCTCTCTCCTCCCTCACACGGGCCCCTCTCTTCCCTCACACTGGCTCCCCCTCTCTTCCCCACACTGGATCACTCTCTCCCCTACGGCCCCCTCGCTTCTCCCTCACCTCCCCTCTGTCCTCTCATGCCCCACACCACCTCGGAGACACCCCCTCTCATGCCTTTCCCTCACAGCGCCCCCTCTCTCCCTCACACTGGCCCCCTCACTCTCACGACCCCTCTCTCCCTCACACTGGACCCCCACTCTCTCCCTCTACTCGTGGCACCCCTCTCTTCCCTCACACTGGACCCCCCCTCTCTCCCTCACACGGGCGGACCCCCTCTCTCCCTCACCCACTGGACCCCTCTCCTTCCCTCACACACTGGACCCCCTCTCTCCCCTCACACTGGAACCCCCTCTCTCCCTCACACTCGAACTGCCCCCTCTCGCCCTCACACTGGACCCCCTCTCTCCCTCACATCCGGAACCCCTCCCTCTCCGTCCCTCACACTGGACCCCTCTCTCTCCCTACGACACTGCGACCCCCTCTCTCCCTCACACCGGACCCCCTCTCTCTCTCCTCACATCAGACCCCCCTCTCCCCCTCACACTGGAACCCCCACTCTCTCCCCACACTGGACCCCCTCTCTCCCTCACAACTGGACCCCCTCTCTCCCCTCACACTGGACCCCCTTACTCCCACACACACTGGGGCTCCCTCTCTCACTCACAGTGGGGCCCCTCTCTCACTCACACTGGCGGCCCTGTCTCGCTCTCTCTGGGGCCCCTCTCTCCCTCACACTGGGGCCCCTCTCTCCCTCACACTGGGGCCCCTCTCTCCCTCACACAGCAGCCCCTCTCTCCCTCACACAGCAGCCCCTCTCTCCCTCACACAGCAGCCCCTCTCTCCTTCACACAGCAGCCCTCTCTCCCTGGGGCCCCTGTCTCGCTCTCTCTGGGGCCCCTCTCTCCCTCACAGCGGCCCTGTCTCACTCACACTGGGGCCCCTCTCTCCCTCACAGCGGCCCTGTCTCACTCACACTGGGGCCCCAGTTATTTTTTTGGGCACTTGTCCTCTCACTCCACACAGAGATGGGAGCGGGGTCGCCGAACAGGAGGTACACTCTAAAAAAAAAATGCATTGGCAAAACTTAATAAAATTGAGGCAGCATTTTGCATGCATCTTTTTAAGTTTTGCGAACAAGACTGTGTTTTAAGTATTCTTTGTAAGTCTTTTATCATTGGTCCAGCACAATTTTTTCAATACCACCAACTTGGATAATTGAGTTATAAAGACACTTTGTTAAGTATATTCAGCAAGTGTTTTAGCATCAGTTCAACTTAATTTTAACAATACTACCAACTTAAATAATTACATTGAAAATAAATCTTTTTGAGTATATTCAACAAGTGATTTTCAGTCAGGAATATGTAATCTTTATTCAAATACCATCTTTCAAAGATTAGATTCACAAAACGGATCACAATTGTTAATTTCCGGCAGTGGTCCCTCACTCCACATATATATGAGAGTGGGCCAGCACAGTCACTGGTAAACATGTCCACCTTAAAGTATCTGTTCAAAATTGAAGGGTGACACAGGGAGTATAGGACTGCTTTGGCTTGGCCCTCTCGATCATGGTTGATAAAAATAAATACAATTACTTATTTGGTCAAATTAGTTTATTCAGAATGTTGCTCAAGTATTTTGCTTTAGGACTTGCTTCATATTCAGTTTTAAAATTAATGCTCAAATGTAGAATTTTTAAGAAGTTTATATTTTTCGCTGCAATGCATTCTGGGTAGCGTCACTGCTTCGCCACATTTTGTTTTCAATCAACACAATATATTTATTTTGAATCAACTCAATATATTTATTTTGAATCAACTCAATATATTTGTTTTTTCATTAATGGGCCACCAGGCTTACAAGAGGATTTTCATGTTGAGCAAACTCAATACTTCTCCGTTGTCCAGTTATGCCAGAATATCAAGTTCAAATTTGTTACAAAAATGAGTTAGGATTCTTGTATTAACTTTTAATTGAGACCGACATGTTTAAAATGAGTTGCGACCACACTAATTTAAGTAAAACTGGCAAAAATCAATTATTGAGTTTAGTTTAGTATGTATTTTGAGTTCAAAATACTAACCACCTGAATCATTTCTTTGAGTGTACATGCCAGACCTATTGTACATATTTTTAGTGGTAGGGGAAACCGGAGTACCTGGAGGAAACCTACGCAGACACGGGGAGAACATGCAAACTCCACTCAGAAAGGCCCTGGTCTGGCCGGGATTCGAACCCAGGACCTTCTTGCTGAGAGGCAAGAGTGCTATCCACTCAGCCACCGTGCCGCCCCCTGGACACTGGACCCCCTCTCTCCCTCACACTGGGCCCCCTCTCTCCCTCACACTGGGCCCCCTCTCTCCCTCACACCGGGCCCCCTCTCTCCCTCACACTGGGCCCCCTCTCTCCCTCACACTCGGACCCCCCTCTCCCTCACAGCGGCCCTGTCTCGCTCTCACTGGGGCCCCTCTCGCCTCCACACTGGACCCCCTCTCTTCCTCACACCGGACCCCCTCTCTCCCTCACACTGGCCCCCCTCTCTCCCCCACACTCGAACCCCCCTCTCCCTCACACTGGACCCCCTCTCTCCCTCACACTGGACCCCCTCTCTCCCTCACACTGGACCCCCTCTCTCCCTCACACTGGGGCCCCTCTCTCTCTCACAATCGGACCCCCTCTCCCTCACACTGGACCCCCTCTCTCCCTCACACAGGGACCCCCTCTCTCCCTCTGGACCCCCTCTCTTCTCACACTCGGACCTCACACTGGACCCCCCTCTCCCTCACACTGGACCCCCCTCTCCCCCACACTGTACCCCTCTCTCCCTCACACATGGGCCCCCTCTCTCCCTCACACTGGACCCCCTCTCTTCCTCACACTCGGACCCCCCTCTCCCTCACACTGGACCCCCCTCTCCCCCACACTGACCCCCTCTCTCCCTCACACATGGGCCCCCTCTCTCCCTCACACTGGGCCCCCTCTCTCCCTCACACTGGACCCCTCTCTTCCTCACACTGGACCCCCTCTCTCCCTCACACTCGGACCCCCCTCTCCCTCACACTGGGGGCCCCTCTCTCCCTCACACTGGGGCCCTCTCTCCCTCACACTGGACCCCCTCTCTTCCTCACACTGGGACCCCTCTCTCCCTCACACTGGACCCCCTCTCTCCCTCACACTGGACCCCCTCTCTCCCTCACACCGGGCCCCCTCTCTTCCTCACACTGGACCCCCTCCTCTCTCTCACTCACACTGGACCCCCTCTCTCCCTCACACCGGGCCCCCTCTCTTCCTCACACTGGACCCCCTCTCTCCCTCACACTGGACCCCCTCTCTCCTCCACACTGGACCCCCCCTCTCCCTCACACTGGACCCCCCTCTCCCTCACACTGGACCCCCTCTCTCCCTCACACTGGACCCCCTCTCTCCCTCACACTGGACCCCCTCTCTCCCTCACACTGGACCCCCTCTCTCCCTCACACTGGAACCCCCCTCTCTCCCTCACACTGGAACCCCCTCTCTCCCTCACACTGGACCCCCTCTCTCCCTCACACTGGACCCCCCTCTCTCCCTCACACTGGAACCCCTCTCTCCCTCACACTGGACCCCCTCTCTCCCTCACACTGGAACCCCCTCTCTCCCTCACACTGGACCCCCTCTCCCTCACACTGGAACCCCCTCTCTCCCTCACACTGGACCCCCTCTCTCCCTCACACTGGAACCCCCTCTCTCCCTCACACTGGACCCCCTCTCTCCCTCACCCCCCCTCTCTCCCTCACACTGGACCCCCTCTCTCCCTCACACTCGGACCCCCTCTCTCCCTCACACTGGACCCCCTCTCCCTCACACTGGGACCCCTCTCTCCCTCACACTGGGCCCCCCTCTCCCTCACACTGGACCCCCCTCTCCTCCACACTGGACCCCCTCTCTCCCTCACACTGGACCCCCCTCTCCCTCCACACTGGACCCCCCTCTCTCCCTCACACTGGACCCCCTCTCTCCCTCACACTGGACCCCCTCTCTCCCTCACACTGGACCCCCTCTCTCCCTCACACCGGGCCCCCTCTCTCCTCCACACTGGACCCCCTCTCTCCCTCACACTGGACCCCCTCTCTCCCTCCCTCACACTGGACCCCCTCTCTCCCTCACACTGGGCCCCCTCTCTCCCTCACACTGGACCCCCTCTCTCCCTCACACTCGGACCCCCTCTCTCCCTCACACCGGGCCCCCTCTCTCCTCACACTGGACCCCCTCTCTCCCTCACACTGGACCCCCTCTCTCCCTCACACTCGGGCCCCCTCTCTCCCTCACACTGGGACCCCTCTCTCCCCCACACTCGGACCCCCTCTCTCCCTCACACTGGAACCCCTCTCTCCCTCACACTGGGACCCCTCTCTCCCTCACACTCGGACCCCCTCTCTCCCTCACACTGGACCCCCCTCTCCCTCACACTGGAACCCCTCTCTCCTCCACACTGGAACCCCTCTCTCCCTCACACTGGACCCCCTCTCTCCCTCACACCGGACCCCCTCTCTCCCTCACACTGGACCCCCTCTCTCCCTCACACCGGGCCCCCTCTCTCCCTCACACTCGGACCCCCCTCTCCCCCACACTGTACCCCTCTCTCCCTCCAACTGGGCCCCCTCTCTCCCTCACACTCGGACCCCCCTCTCCCTCACACTCGGACCCCCTCTCTTCCTCACACTGGACCCCCCTCTCTTCCTCACACTGGACCCCCTCTCTCCCTCACACTGGACCCCCTCTCTCCCTCACACTGGACCCCCTCTCTCCCTCACACTGGACCCCCTCTCTCCCTCACACTGGGCCCCCTCTCTCCCTCACACTGGGACCCCCTCTCTCCCCCACACTCGGACCCCCTCTCTCCCTCACACTGGAACCCCTCTCTCCCTCACACTGGGACCCCTCTCTCCCTCACACTCGGACCCCCTCTCTCCCTCACACTGGACCCCCTCTCCCTCACACTGGAACCCCTCTCTCCTCCACACTGGAACCCCCTCTCTCCCTCACACTGGACCCCCTCTCTCCCTCACACCGGACCCCCTCTCTCCCTCACACTGGACCCCCCTCTCTCCCTCACACCGGGCCCCCTCTCTCCCTCACACTCGGACCCCCCTCTCCCCCACACTGTACCCCTCTCTCCCTCCACACTGGGCCCCCTCTCTCCCTCACACTGGACCCCCCTCTCCCTCACACTCGGACCCCCTCTCTTCCTCACACTGGACCCCCCTCTCTTCCTCACACTGGACCCCCCTCTCTCCCTCACACTGGACCCCCTCTCTCCCTCACACTGGACCCCCTCTCTCCCCTCACACTGGACCCCCTCTCTCCCTCACACCGGGCCCCCTCTCTCCTCCACACTGGACCCCCTCTCTCCCTCACACTGGACCCCCTCTCTCCCTCACACTGGACCCCCCTCTCCCTCACACTGGAACCCCCCTCTCTCCCTCACACTGGACCCCCTCTCTCCCTCACACTGGAACCCCCCTCTCTCCCTCACACTGGACCCCCTCTCTCCCTCACACTGGAACCCCCCTCTCTCCCTCACACTGGACCCCCTCTCTCCCCTCACACTCGGACCCCCTCTCTCCCTCACACTGGACCCCCTCTCCCTCACACTGGAACCCCTCTCTCCCTCACACTGGACCCCCCTCTCCCTCACACTGGACCCCCCTCTCCTCCACACTGGACCCCCCTCTCCCTCACACTGGACCCCCCTCTCCTCCACACTGGACCCCCCTCTCTCCCTCACACTGGACCCCCTCTCTCCCTCACACTGGACCCCCTCTCTCCCTCACACTGGACCCCCTCTCTCCCTCACACCGGGGCCCCTCTCTCCTCTCACACTGGACCCCCTCTCTCCCTCACACTGGACCCCCTCTCTCCCTCACACTGGGACCCCCTCTCTCCCTCACACCGGGCCCCCTCTCTTCCTCACACTCGGACCCCCTCTCTTCCTCACACTCGGACCCCCTCTCTCCCTCACACCGGGCCCCCTCTCTTCCTCACACTGGACCCCCTCTCTCCCTCACACTGGACCCCCTCTCTCCCTCACACTGGACCCCCTCTCTTCCTCACACTGGACCCCCTCTCTCCCTCACACTGGACCCCCTCTCTCCCTCACACTGGAACCCCCCTCTCTCCCTCACACTGGAACCCCTCTCTCCCTCACACTCGAACCCTCCTCTCTCCCTCACACTGGACCCCCTCTCTCCCTCACACTGGAACCCCTCTCTCCCTCACACTGGACCCCCTCTCTCCCTCACACTGGAACCCCCCTCTCTCCCTCACACTGGACCCCCCTCTCCCTCACACTGGAACCCCCCTCTCTCCCTCACACTGGACCCCCTCTCTCCCTCACACTGGAACCCCCCTCTCTCCCTCACACTGGACCCCCTCTCTCCCTCACACTGGAACCCCCCTCTCTCCCTCACACTGGACCCCCTCTCTCCCTCACACTCGGACCCCCTCTCTCCCTCACACTGGACCCCCTCTCCCTCACACTGGAACCCCTCTCTCCTCCACACTGGAACCCCTCTCTCCCTCACACTGGACCCCCTCTCTCCCTCACACCGGGCCCCCTCTCTCCCTCACACTGGGACCCCTCTCTCCCCCACACTCGGACCCCCTCTCTCCCTCACACTGGACCCCCTCTCTCCCTCACACTGGGACCCCTCTCTCCCTCACACTCGGACCCCCTCTCTCCCTCACACTGGACCCCCTCTCCCTCACACTGGAACCCCTCTCTCCTCCACACTGGAACCCCTCTCTCCCTCACACTGGACCCCCTCTCTCCCTCACACCGGACCCCCTCTCTCCCTCACACTGGACCCCCTCTCTCCCTCACACCGGGCCCCCTCTCTCCCTCACACTCGGACCCCCCTCTCCCCCACACTGTACCCCTCTCTCCCTCCAACTGGGCCCCCTCTCTCCCTCACACTCGGACCCCCCTCTCCCTCACACTGGACCCCCTCTCTCCCTCACACTGGACCCCCTCTCTCCCTCACACCGGGCCCCCTCTCTCCCTCACACTCGGACCCCCTCTCTCCCTCACACTGGACCCCCTCTCTCCCTCACACTGGAACCCCTCTCTCCCTCACACTCGGACCCCCTCTCTCTCCTCCACACTGGACCCCCTCTCTCCCTCACACTGGGCCCCCTCTCTCCCTCACACTGGACCCCCTCTCTTCCTCACACTCGGGACCCCCTCTCTTCCTCACACTGGACCCCCTCTCTCCCTCACACTGGACCCCCTCTCTCCCTCACACTGGACCCCCTCTCTCCCTCACACTGGACCCCCTCTCTCCCTCACACCGGGCCCCCTCTCTCCTCCACAGTGGACCCCCTCTCTCCCTCACACTGGACCCCTCTCTCCCTCACACTGGACCCCCTCTCTCCCTCACACTGGACCCCCTCTCTCCCTCACACTGGACCCCCTCTCTCCCTCACACCGGGCCCCCTCTCTTCCTCACACTGGACCCCCTCTCTTCCTCACACTGGACCCCCTCTCTCCCTCACACTGGACCCCCTCTCTCCCTCACACTGGACCCCCTCTCTCCCTCACACCGGGCCCCCTCTCTCCCTCACACTGGACCCCCTCTCTCCCAAAATTATGCCATATTTTTCTGCAAATGGTTGTTTGAAAGATAAATGACAACATTGTGTACGTACAGTATTTTTTTATTATAACAATAAATCCATATGAAATGGGGCAAACATCATCAACATTCTGTCTTTCTGTAGTGACTCAGACTAAAAATACTGTCTGTTACAGGGATGAGGGACATTTCAAAACAGTCTGAAGCAGAATGTCATTAAATCTGTTTCCCTCACAACGTTTTACTTTTGTTTACAACCAACATGAACTTATAGTGCTAGGTAAGTTGTGCTTCGGGACGAGACACGGAGGAGACACGGACACACTCCATAATCCTGTTTTAAAAGTGATTATTATTATTTTTTTATTAACTTCCGTTAACACGATCATTTTGACAGCCCTTGTATTTAAGTAAGTGAGTAAGTAAGTAATCTTTATTTATATACCGCCTTTCACAGACCAGAGTCACAAAGCGGTTTACAATTGTTATTATTTTTGGGCATTGGTCCACTCACTCCACACAGAGATGGGAGCGGGGTCGCCGAACAGGAGGCGCATGCCAGACCTTGTTCGGATTTACTGATCCCTGTAACCCACTACACTTACATGCGCAACATTTTGCATGATGTGTAGAGAAAATTGTATTTTAAGAGCGCACACAACACTTGCGGGTCCTTATGTGACACTGGGGCTCCCTCTCTCACTCACAGTGGGGCCCCTCTCTCACTCACACTGGGGCCCCTCTCTCACTCACAGCGGCCCTGTCTCGCTCTCACTGGGGCCCCTCTCTCCCTCACACTGGGGCCCCTCTCTCCCTCACACTCGGACCCCCTCTCTCCCTCACACGGCAGTCTCCCCTCTCTCCCTCCACACTGGACCCCCTCTCTCCCTCACACAGGACCCCCTCTCTCCCTCACACTGGCCCCCCTCTCTCCCCCACACAGAACCCCCTCTCTCCCTCACACTGGACCCCCCTCTCCCTCACACTGGGGCCCCTCTCTCCCTCACACTGGACCCCCCTCTCCCTCACACTGGACCCCCTCTCCCTCACTGGGGCCCCTCTCTCCCTCACACTGGACCCCCTCTCTCCTCACACTGGGGCCCCCCTCTCCCTCACCTGACCCCCTCTCTCCCTCACACTGGGACCCCCTCTCCCCTCACACTGACCCCCTCTCTCCTCACACACTGGACCCCCTCTCTCCCTCACACTGGACCCCCTCTCTCCCTCACACTGGACCCCCTCTCTCTCCCTCACACTGGACCCCCTCTCTCCCTCACACTGGACCCCCTCTCTCCCTCACACTGGGACCCCCTCTCTCCCTCACACTGGACCCCCCTCTCTCCTCACACTGGACCCCCTCTCTCCCTCACACTCTCACACTGGACCCCCTCTCTCCCTCACACTGGACCCCCTCTCTCCCTCACACTGGACCCCCTCTCCCTCACACTCCCCCTCTCCCTCACACTGGACCCCCCTCTCCCTCACACTGACCCTCTCTCCCTCACACTGGACCCCCTCTCTCCCTCACACTGGACCCCCTCTCTCCCTCACACTGGACCCCCTCTCCCTCACACTGACCCCCTCTCTCCCTCACACTGGACCCCCCTCTCTCCCTCACACTGGAACCCCCCTCTCTCCTCACACTGGAACCCCCCTCTCTCCCTCACACTGGACCCCCTCTCTCCCTCACACTGGACCCCCCCTCACACTCCCCCCTCCCTCACACTGGACCCCCCTCTCTCCCTCACACTGGAACCCCCTCTCTCCCTCACACTGGACCCCCTCTCTCCCTCACACTGGACCCCCTCTCTCCCTCACACTGGACCCCCTCTCTCCCTCACACTGGACCCCCCTCTCTCCCTCACACTGGACCCCCTCTCTCCCTCACACTCGGACCCCCCTCTCCCTCACACTGGACCCCCTCTCTCCCTCACACTGGACCCCCCTCTCTCCCTCACACTGGACCCCCTCTCCCTCACACTGGAACCCCCTCTCCCTCACACTGGACCCCCCTCTCCCCTCACACTGGACCCCCCTCTCTCCCTCACACTGGACCCCCCTCTCTCCCTCACACTGGAACCCCCTCTCTCCCTCACACTGGACCCCCTCTCTCCCTCACACTGGACCCCCCCTCTCCCTCACACTGGACCCCCCTCTCTCCCTCACACTGGACCCCCCTCTCAACTCCCTCACACTGGACCCCCCTCTCTCCCTCACACTGGACCCCCTCTCTCCCTCACACTGGAACCCCCCTCTCTCCCTCACACTGGACCCCCTCTCTCCCTCACACTGGACCCCCTCTCTCCCTCACACTGGACCCCCCTCTCTCCCTCACACTGGACCCCCTCTCTCCCTCACACTGGAACCCCCCTCTCTCCCTCACACTGGACCCCCCTCTCTCCCTCACACTGGACCCCCCTCTCTCCCTCACACTGGACCCCCTCTCTCCCTCACACTGGACCCCCCTCTCTCCCTCACACTCGGACCCCCTCTCTCCCTCACACTCGAACCCCCCTCTCTCCCTCACACTGGAACCCCCCTCTCTCCCTCACACTGGACCCCCCCTCTCCCTCACACTGGACCCCCTCTCTCCCTCACACCGGACCCCCCTCTCCCTCACACTGGACCCCCCTCTCTTCCTCACACTGGACCCCCCCTCTCCCTCACACTGGACCCCCCTCTCCCTCACAGCGGCCCTGTCTCGCCCTCACAGCGGCCCTGTCTCGCCCTCTCCCTGGGAGCGGCTCTGCACGGCTCTGCACGGCTCTGCACGGCTCTGCACAGGGACAGCGCAGACATGGCAGCTCTCACATCTCTCACTCAGGTACCGCTCTTCTCCTCCTCTCTCAGGCTCCAGGCCGTAGACCCCCAGCTCTGGCTCTGCTCGCCCCTTCCTACACCCTCAAACCCAGGACCAGGACCGGGACTGAGCAGCTCCTGCCCCGGGCCTGCACGCACCGTTATCTCCGCTAGCTCCACACATCCACATCCACCACACCATTCATTCTCTGCGAGCTCTTTGTGCACATTTCACACTCACACTGATGTCAAACGAAGCGTGCACGTCCAAATATGTCCTCACGCGTTGAAGAGTTCAGAATGAGATGCAAACAAACAGTAGTTTATGGCGAGCTAACCGTGGCTATGCTAGCTCTGATTCCCTGAATGACTCAAATCTTGGTATTTCGTTCCGGACAGAGGGATATAATCACTATTCTCTTTATTTTTTAATTCAAATTTGTGATTAAGAGTCATTTTCGTGATAAGTTTAGGGTCAGCTATTCGTTTAATGTTTGGGTCGGGAAATGTAAGGCTTAAGCTTGTGGTGAGACGAAATACCAAGATTTGAGAGAGTCGCTGATGATGATGATAAACAGAGGAGAGGTTATTGCTCTGATAACATACAATACTGTACAACCAGGCTTTACGTTGAATGAATTTAATGTTTCATTCTAAATGTAGTTATTTTGGGTGTCTCTGCTTATTGGCACTGATAATTCACTCACATAGAAAGACATATAGAAATGTTAAAACAAGGGTATCCAACATCTTTTCCCCATAAATGCTGCATGTCGTCTGTGCCAACATGTTTATTGTAAAGGTATAACGTTGTGAACAAATCAGACCACAGGATGCATCCATCCATCCATCCATCCATCCATTTTCTTCCCCTTAATCCATTTCTGGGTCGGGGGGGTGGCAGTCAGAGCTGCACCCAGTCCACAGAGCACCAGCCCCTCACTGATCCTCTGCAGGTGGTGAGTCCACAGGAGCTGAGATCTTTCAGTGGGGGCTTTGGGCAAAGTAGGGTTAAGTGTCTTGCCCAAGGACACAACGACAGCAGTCATCAGTGGGAGTCGTGAAGTAGGTCTTATGGTGGGCTCGAACCCACGACCTTCAGGCTCAAAGGCCAATGCTCTACCAACTGAGCTACTGACAGGATGCAGTCTTTGTCTATGTTATTTGTAGCTTAGTGACAGTGATCCTTTCTTTTAACTGTTCATGTGTGAAAAAGCTGATTTAAAGATGTGACAGAGGCCACACAGTACATGCATACAGTACATGCATACAGTACATGCATACAGTACATGCATACAGTACATGCATACAGTACATGCATACAGTACATGCATACAGTACATGCATACAGTACATGCATACAGTACATGCATACAGTACATGCATACAGTACATGCATACAGTACATGCATACAGTACATGCATACAGTACAGTGTAAACTAGTCATGGAACCAGACATGGGTTTTATTATAGAGTTCCATTGAGGTTTGAAAGGCAAGAACCCCAGCTTCAAGTTATCGTTCTAAATGATAAAGAATGTGCTTGTGATCTCCAATATCTCACCAGTTTGAAGACATGTCACATTGTCACCTATATAAATATGAAATACCATACTAATTACAGTAATAGGGGTGGGAATCGTGGGGCAATTAATTAATATAATTATGATTTAGATTCACGTGACGCATCAACTTCCGGTTAATAAAGTGGTGGTCAGGCCAACAAAAATGGCTGATATGTGAAGAAAATGCGACACTTCTTCTGTATTTTCATGCTTTTTTGGATATTTAATGACACTTTAAAGCTACTGTGGTTAAAGTTCTAACTCATCATTCTAACAATATGCACTAGGCAGTATTTTTCCACTACATGTTTTTGTAATATCAAGGTTGAAGCTACTGGCACCGCGGCGAATGCTGATAGGACGTCTCCATTCCTGCGCTGTATAATGTCACTTACATTCTGTAACGTATTTGTTCGTGCTGCCTCTACCATCGACAATAAAACATTCTGTCTGAATTAAAGACACAATCCTAGACTGTCATTTTCTTCAATTTAGATTCGAATTCTCGAGATTCATACATCGAAAAAGTCAAAATGTGTAACGAACGGCGTCGATCCTGATGCGTTATCTCCGCCAGTTCAGTTATCTCAAACTCTCCAGTTTTACAGTCAAGCTTTTGCACTTTAAACAAATGAAGGTTTGGAGAAACATGGATACTGCAACTTTTCCGTCTGTGGGTTCAGGAACTCAGAGTTAAGGTCCTGAAGGACAAATTCTGCATCGTACAGAGCCGTGTAAGTAACGATTAATGAATGAACTTGTCTTTCTCAACAGAACGATGCGCCTGTGGCTCTGTTCTTTTCAGCTCAAACATTCACAGTGTTTATCTAAAACACAGACTCACACCTGAAAGTTCATTAAATAAAGATGGGGATGTAATAACTGAGCATTGTGACTGCACGGCTGGGTAAATAAATAATCCTTAGAGGTAAATAAATAATCCTTGAGGTAAAAGCGTTTGCAGTGAAATGTTAGCGAGACACTTTTCCTGCGTCTTTTCGTAAAGTCCTGAGTGCGAGTCTCTTTATTAATCTCTTCACGAGGAATCCTAAAGTATTCTTTATCTTTTTCGCGATTTGATCGGTTAGAACAACCTAAAACAACACATGCAAAAGGCACATCAACACGCTGCTCTAGTGAACAACAGGCTCGGCGACCACCGTTTACACATACGTAATGAGGCGAGTAAAGAAAGTGTTTATTGATGCCCTTTTTACACATTTCCAGAGATAAACTCATTTCCATAATTTGTTGTTACCCTTATCAAAATATTCTTTGGAATGGAAATGGATGAACATTTGAACCTTAGTGCACCTTATGTCATATGCTACTTACAATTGTTATTATGCGGCTCCTCACAGCAGCAGTCAGACGCTCTATTGATTTTAATGTCATTTCAAAAAGTTCTACTCGTCATTATTTCTTGATAACGAACCTCTCAAACGCTGCGCAAGGCAACATTATCTGTGCTTGTAATTCAGGTGCGTATAATACTAAGATTACTCCGGTAGTCCGGCCACTTCATCAACGGGCTTTCAGCGCGTCGGGGTCCGCTTCGCCCTGTATAATGACCCGATAATGACCTGCGTAATATACGTTATCCCGCTTATTATACGGCTTTATACCAACAGAACACACAACATAAACTTCAGTCCACTTTTAGGAATGCCGAAAGGTTTATTTAATTACAGAAAATAAAATAGTTCCCTAAGGCTTTCCCGTGGCTATGCTAGCAACAGTTAGGCTGGGAACTTCCAAACTAGAACTCTCTGGAACTGCATGAAAACTGAACAAAGAATTCTGAACATCAGCGGTGAGTGACCCAAACATAAACTTAACCTAAATCCATAATTCCATCCTCTGCAAATGTTCCTAAAATGTGCCGTATCTACTTCCGGGTTTTTCGGGATCGCCTTTTCTCGCATTACATCAGTGTTTTTGTCATGAAAACGTAAACGGAAAATTCTGAAAACTTCCGTGCACTTGTATTAAGACTGGATATGTATAAATTACTCTCCAATTAACATTTCATTGCGTTGATTGATTGGCATTTGCGTTTATTGAGCGGCCAGAACTACTTCTGGGTTTTTCACGATCGCTTTTTGACGCAGAGAAATAGTATTTTTGTCATAAAGACAAGACCAGAAAACTCTGAAACTCTCCGTGCACGTGTGTGAAGAATGTATATGTATAAGTATTCTCCGATTAACATTTAAGTGTGTTGATTGAGCGTAGTTAGCTCCGGAGTGGCCGGAACTACTTGCGGAGTTATCCATGCATTTGAAAGACAAGCAGAGAGTGCGTTGCCAAAGGGCAGCGGTCATTATTGTTTTGAGAGGTCCGTTGTAGAAAATAATGACCGGTAGAACGTTTTGAAATTACATTCACATTGATGGAGCATTCTACTGCTGCTGTGAGGAGCGTGTGATAAGATGAATTAATTTCACAAAGTTAGCGCGTTAAATTATGTACGCATTTTTATCGTATTTATTTTTGCACCTGGATGAGTTTCAGACGGACCGATTGTACTGGAGCACCAACTAACACGCATGAATCATGGATGGCATGAATTGGGTTCAGACAACAGCAAACCGCAGTGAACATGATCCATGGATCTATAATAATAACTGGATTCTCGCGGTACTGCAGACTAAACCAGACCAAACCAGACCAAACCAGACCAAACCAGACTAAACCAGACTAAACCAGACCAAACCAGACTAAACCAGACCAAACCAGACTAAACCAGACTAAACCAGACCAAACCAGACCAAACCAGACCAAACCAGACTAAACCAGACCAAACCAGACCAAACCAGACCAAACCAGACCAAACCAGACCAAACCAGACTAAACCAGACCAAACCAGACCAAACCAGACCAAACCAGACTAAACCAGACCAAACCAGACCAAACCAGACCAAACCAGACCAAACCAGACTAGGGCTGGGCGATTAATCGATTTTAATCATTAATTCGAGTTTTACGTTTAGGGCGATTTCTTTTTTTAAAAATTCGATTTTTATTTTCTCCAGCGCAGAACTACAGCGCTAACGCGCTAACCGCGGGTCTATGGTGTTGAGCAGTCATTTTGAAGCTAACAGTCTCCCTCTGGCCTGATGCTCGCTCTCACAGTTGGTGCTGTTGCAATAACACTTCAAACGTTCAAGAATCAGACTTTATTTTATCGCCAGAACACACACACACACACACACACACACAGGCTCCGGTCGTACGCCACATCTTTCACGCTCTCTCACGCTCGTTATTCCAAAGCGCACTCCCGTGTCCGTGGCGCGCACACACTCGTGTCCCACTGAGCCGCTGCACTTTGGGGAAAGACACGTCTCACACATTGTTCTCATTGCTCTGATACAAACAACGTGTTCCCCGCTGTCTGTTAGCTACAGTAGCTGCTACAGTAGCTGTTAGCTACAGCATCAGAATGTAAACAGGAAGCTCGCACAATGCGGGAGTCACTGAAGTTAGTATTAGCGCCACCAGCTGGACCGAGCGTTGTACTACAGCACAGTTACTCAGGCACAGTTGAAAGAACAAGCATGAAAACCCGAGGAGGCTTTTGGAAAAGACTGTTACAACATTTCTATTTTGAGTAATCAGTTTTAAAAATGTGATATTTCATGTAAATAATGCATGTGTTTAATAGGATTGATATATTTGCGATGGGCCTTGTTTGTGTGATTTAAGTTATTTTGAAGGTGCATAGTGTCATTGTAAGTGAAGTTATTATAAAACTGTTAAGCTACATTTTCACTGTTTACAATGGCAGAGCCATCTCGTTTACAAGCATGTTTTAAGGCTTAATTCCTGTTACACTTATGCTCCATGGGGATTTAGATTAAACTGCATAAAGGAAAATCTATTTCTTTGTCAGTTGTAGTTTGTTTTTAAATAGAAAAAAATAAATCGATTAAAATCGTAAATCGGATTTGGTGTGAAAAAATCGGAGATTTTTTTTTTTTGCCATATCGCCCAGCCCTAAACCAGACTAAACCAGACTAAACCAGACTAAACCAGACTAAACCAGACTAAACTAGACTAAACCAGACTAAACCAGACTAAACCAGACTAAACCAGACCAAACCAGACTAAACCAGACCAAACCAGACTAAACCAGACTAAACCAGACTAAACTAGACTAAACCAGACTAAACCAGACTAAATTCACGTTACCCAGAAACAAAGAAGCTGATGTGACGTGGTGGTTGGCTCAGTGGAGGGACACTTAATGGCAAAATTTGCACTGGTCTGTTGGACTTGAAAAAAAAAGAATAAAGAAAAGTTGCTTAAGCTTATGTATTCAGGCAAACTAAAAATCCATGTGGAAAAAATCATTTCTCACTGTTCTTAGGTCAAATGTTTATATGTGATTAATTGTGATTAATTAATTACAAAGCCTCTAATTAATTCGATTTTTTTTTTTTTATTGAGTCCCAGCCCTACAAATAATACGCTATACAGTCTTGATACGCTTGCACGGAGATTTTCAGAATGATCTGTTAACGGTTTCGTGACAAAAATACTGTTTTATTGAAAACTGTAAACCCATAAACATTAATAAAACATTTTAGGACGCACACATTTGCAGATTATCGATATGTGGTTCACTCACCGCTGATGTTCAGAACTCTTTGTTCAGTTTTCATGTAGTTCGAGCTCGCCCCAGCGATCCAAGATGGCGTCCTATTCAAATCAATGGCTTGTGTTCAGTGGCGCATGTGCCACCATGGGGGCCTAAAGATTAGCGGAACTCGTCCATATTTAGGCGTCGTCTGGTCCTCCTGGATCTGCGCAGCCCCAAATACTCCTGTGTGGCTCTCATGCACGTGCACAGAGGGGATTGGCTGCGCTCTGACCAATCAGAGCTGATCAGAGCAGAGTAGAGCGGGAACCAAACGAGCAGAGTTTGTGGAAGTAAGTGTGGATTTAAAGAGAACCAAAATATGTAAGAAGAAAAAAAGTTCAGGATGACAAGGGACACTAAAATCCTGATGCAAACAAAGTTAAGCTTGTGGATTTTTGTGTAAAGTTCTTCTCCAAGAATGCAGCTCTGCAGCGTCTCTGTGTCCAGAGACCTTCATTTAAGAGCAGTGTGTGTTCACGGAGGTGCGCCATAAGTTCCCTTTATTATTCAACAGTACTTTCCCATCGGCGAACACGTTAGCAACACTTGTTTACAGTCACGGGAGAATGAGAGCACTGTGTCCCCCGCTTTTTGCTTAAGTCCATCTAACAGTTGTGTTTCCTCAAATGTGTTACAGTTTAATCCTTAAACTTAACCTTTCACTTTGGAAACAAACGAATGTCTTCATGACACTTAAATACTATACTAGCTCTGTTTTTGAATGATTCATGCATGTTTGTGTACACACCTACATCTGAGCTGCCATTGGTCCACCCTGGGTCCTCTGACCACTGCCACGGTCAACCTTCTTTACTCACTGAGCAAAACGTGTTCAGTGTAAACACTCAAACCAAAGCTATAGATACACGTGGACAGGATGGAAGGTTATGAAACTACACACAATTATTCAATTGGGTCCTGGATGCACTAAACTGACTTCAGAAGTCAGTTTCGATCACATTATATTCAATATTGAGATGTCAAAAGTGCTAAATAATGTGGAATGATCATGAGATAGCAGAGTGCCATGCTTGTGTTCCTGACCAGAGGTTGTGTTGTGTCCGCAGCTGCCCAGTGGGAACCCTGTTTTCGAGAGCTTCTACAGACAGGTGAGTACTTTTAGACTCATATACGACACATTATTGCTGGATTTATAAATACTTTCAGTATTCAGGTCATGTTTCCATACTTAATAAAGATACCATACCTTTCTTTTATAATCATGTCACATGTGGAATTGTATAGGTTAATTTAATTTATTTTACTTAATTTACGTACTTTACACCTGTGTTCCTTAAATTAAATAGCACCATGTTAGATATCTATTATAAAAGCAGAATGTTATCCCTCTTCTACCTCTAGATGGTGTTCTTGATTCTAATCAGTCATTTTATCCATGCTAAAAATGTGCATTCTAAAACATGTAAAGTGTTTACCTTAAAGAGAACTTGACTGACAATCTATGTTTTATGACTTTTTTGTCTAACTAATTTTTACAGTTGCTACAAATGAAAAAAAACATGTAAACCCAAAACAAATGTGACCTTTTTAAGAATATTTACCTCCATTGTAAATTGTTGTCATATGCTTAGAATTTGACTTAAAGAAGCTATACCCGATTTATTTTCTGATTAGTTCATAAAAATGTGTATGTTACATACAAGTTGTATTAAAATTGAATGTAAAACTTGAGCTCATTGATTCAGCTGTGGATGAACTCAGTAAAAAGTGCTGAGTAGAGACTTAGCGTGACGCCCGCTCTCCTCCAATCACAGAACGAGGCTGCGTCCTCTAGCCTCTACAGCGCTGCTAAACACAGTAGCATGTTAGCATAAGTGGCTATAACTCCTCTGGCTGTAACTGCAGACACAGCAAAACAGCCCAAACCACACAACAGTGAGGAAGAGAAGAGGAACTAAAGCCACAACATGATCAAAGAAGAAACCAAGCCCTGAACAGAGCTAGCTTACATCGTATCCTCTGGAGAGACTGGTCTGAGGGAGAGACCTGCGGGACCGCCTCGGACTACATTTGGACGCAAAACTAGCTGTAATGTTTCAGTGCTAATACTTATGTTTTCATACATACTGTATAAGATCGCAAATAAAACTAGACGGCTCCGTGGGAGGAGAGCGTAGGGGAAATGAGAAGCCTGTGAGCGAATTGGGGGCGGGGCTAAACATTAAAACCTGCAGAAACGTGTATAGCTCCTTTAACCCTTTAAGCGTCAGAGGTTTTTTTGCTAAATTTTGACATTTTAGTTTCAAAAGGCTTCCACTTGTGAGCATTTCAAGTGGAGGTGTATTTGTTTTATCATGAATCAAAGCTGTTTTATAAATATGAGTTATTGATTAAGGGTTGAGTAAGGGTTAGGAAGATTATATCTGCAGTAGAATGTGAGCGGGTATTCTGAGCAGAAGGGAGTTAGGATTTTGGTCCAGTGTTCTGTTTTATTGCTATTGAGTCAGAGAAAGTTGTTGTCCATCCAGATTTTAATATTAGAGAGGCAGGTCATCATCGTAACAATGACAGTGTGGAAAGGCTCATGGGTTTTCAAGAAACTGTATTTAATAAGTAAGTATCTTTCTTAAAATAGACACACAAAGCCCTTTACAATAATCGTTTCTCAATGCCATGTTTATGGACCTACATTAAAACAGCACAATAATGTATCATTTTTGTTTTTAAAAACATTCTGAGTCACAAGTTTTGCTAAAGCAGCTTTTGTGGAATGAGCTGACGTGAGGTGCTTTTCCAGGTGGACCCTGGGAACTTGGGCAAGGTGGGTCCCACTGAAGCTGCTCTCTTCCTGAAGAAGTCTGGCCTACCTGACGTCACTCTGGGAAAGGTACACTCGGATTGTAGTGTGATTGGTTCATCCATAATCAAACCATCAACCCGACGTAAAACTAAGAAACAATAATTGTGAAAATTAAAATCAAAGCAAAACCTATGCCTGTGTTAAATGAATTACCCTCAAAAGTGCTTTTCACTAAACTCTATCATACACAATACTGGATACATCATATACCTCATATGTATGACTACTGTTTGCCCTTTGACCTGTCTAAATAATGTGCTTCTAAACTAAATGATTTAACACAATGCTTGTAATGGCTGTGCTATAGCGGATTAGTGCCAAGTTAATTAAAACATTTGTGAATTTCTTTCAATAGTCGCTTCATTTGTGTGTTTAATAATTGTAACTTTGAAATGGTGACATCCGTAAGGGCAGTTCTTTGTCTGCTGTTTGTGCGCAGATCTGGGATTTGGCCGATCCGGATGGAAAAGGTTATCTGGACAAACAGGTGTGTGCGAGTACACTGCATAGGGCTGGAGTACACACAACTGTATTCTTCTATGGTTATGGTTTCACAAGGGTTAGTGTGTCTGTCTTTTATTTAGCAACATAACTCGAAATATTATGGTTAGATTTTACACTGAGGCTAGAGTGATACTTTTTGAAGATTATCCAGATCACCATCACTTCTATCAAGAGTATTGCACTTTATAGAAATGTTACCATAGAGAACAACTGTGGAAGAACCCAGCAGCTCTCTTGTCTTCTCAGGGCTTCTACGTGGCTCTGCGCCTGGTGGCCTGTGCACAGAGCGGCCAGGAAGTTGCGCTGTCCAGTTTAAGCCTTAATGTCCCACCTCCTAAATTTGTGAGTATGCTTTGTCCTTGGTTGTGGATCGCAGTTATCGGGGAAAAAAAACATTTGCTAATTCTGTGTGTCATTGGATTGAGACTGCAACAGCAACAATAGTACCAGCAGTAGTAGCAGCAGTAGTATTGTTAGAATTAGTAGTAGCATGAGCCCTATAGTAGTAGTAGTAGTAGTAGTAGCATGAGCCCTATAGTAGTAGTAGTAGCAGCAGTAGTAGTAGTAGTAGTATTGTTAGAAGTAGTAGTAGCATGAGCCCTATAGCAGTAGTAGTAGTAGTAGTAGTAGTAGTAGTAGTAGCATGAGCCCTATAGCAGTAGTAGTAGCAGCAGTAGTAGTAGTAGTAGCATGAGCCCTGTAGTAGTAGCAGCAGTAGTAGTAGTAGTAGTATTGTTAGAAGTAGTAGTAGCATGAGCCCTATAGCAGTAGTAGTAGCAGCAGTAGTAGTAGTAGTAGCATGAGCCCTATAGCAGTAGTAGTAGCAGCAGTAGTAGTAGTAGTAGCATGAGCCCTATAGCAGTAGTAGTAGCAGCAGTAGTAGTAGTAGTAGCATGAGCCCTATAGTAGTAGCAGTAGTAGTAGTAGTAGTAGCCGCAGCAACTAGCAGTACCCCCACCACACATTGATTCCATGCTGATCCAGTCCTGATCGGCCCGTATGCCACTCACAGTGGGTCACGTGATAACTATCCCTACAGATACACCAACACTAAGTGGACAAAAGCCTTATGCTACTAAACAAACCGTCTCCCATTCTGTTCTGTTCTCTTTCATTGTCCTTGGGATTTATACATGAGGAAAGTGTGTACTACTTAGTGAGCAGGGAGATTATATTCTGAAAAACATCAGTTTGACTGTGTTTGTGTCTCCTTCAGAAGGACAGCAGCAGTCCATGTTTGGGCAGCGTGGCTCCGGGCGCTGGAGAGCAGCATTGGGCTGTCAGGGTGAGACAATATACTTTATGTACTGCAATTAAGATAATTAATTAAATAATTGTAATATTAAGACAAATTATGAAATATACAATCGTAAGACAGCAAACAGTCCGACGTGTGAGCAGACGGCATTGTTTACTGTTTAATGGACAGAGCCATTTGAAAAAAAGATAGTCTCTCATCAGTCTAATGATAACTGCATTATTCGTGTTTATCCACATGATTTCAGTGTAACACATTTTTGTGCATTCTAAAACATGAAAAGTCGAAGGAAGGGGATCATAAAATGAATACTCAAATGAACACTAAAATTGCATAATATTTGTTCTTGGGGAAAATACTGCACAATGTATTTTGAAGTGTCTTGTGATCAGTGACAATCTTGGTTCACAGCCACAAACAGGCCAATAAAACATTCCATTTATGTGTTTGCTACAAAAGCAAAGCCCTGTATTTGTCCAGGCAGAGGAAAGGAGTAAGTTTGACGGCATCTTCGAGAGCTTGGCCCCAGTGAACGGACTCCTGTCTGGAGATAAGGTCAAACCAGTGCTCATCAACTCCAAGCTTCCCCTGGACATCTTAGGCAAGGTGAGCTCCCACTCTTTGCCTCTACAATACATATTAAACAGGTTCTTTCAATCTAGAAAGACTCAAATCTGTGTATAACGGGGGATTTACACAGTAGGCGTAAACAGCGCGTACGCGTTTACTGCGCGCTCTCTGCGCGTAACATTTTTTTGGAGTATCTACACAGGCCGTGCGCGCAGGTCCGCGTCTTCTGATGCTCTCCCTGTGTAGTCTATGGAGCAGTGTAGAGGACAGTTCGGGTCAGAGGACTGATGTAGAGCAACACAAATCACATGCATGTGTTTGTCTTCATGGTCTCTGTGCGCTGGTTTGGCCAGACGCGAGACTTTATGAAAGAAAAAAACCGATGTCCAGAATCACTGTAAAACCTGCTGCTCCTCCTGCTGATGTTTAGACACAAGTGATGTGTGTGTGTAGATGCGATCTAGAGCCAAGGACCGCTAGAAAAATCATGTTTTACATGAGATTTCAATGGGAGACGCGTTGGTGCGCGCACAAAATTAGAAATCCATCCTAAATTAGAGTGCAGCTTCGCGTCATACGTCCGTCATACGCGCGTATTACGCTAGAAGTGTAAATATCATCATAGGTTAACATGGAAAAAAGTTACGCGCGTCTGCTGCGCGTATAACACGTACGTGCTGTAACGCGTGATGTGTAAATTAGCAGTCAGAAGGATGAGAGGAGCCGGTGTCATGAAGAGAGAGTGTAGTGATGAGGAGGAGGGTTGTGGCACAAGCTAAGCTGAGTTAAGACTTTGTGAATCAGAATAACTGTCCTTTTCATGACCCTTAACACTGATGATATATGAATATATCTCGTCTTTTTATTTGTTGAAAAATAACAGAATCATGTATAACTTTCACTTCACAGTTGTCTGTTACTTGTGTGTGAACTTTCAATATGAAAATCTAAATAAAATCTTTCTGTTAATGGTTGTAAACCTGACATATATACGGTACATATACATTCAGTCAGAAAATAATCTTTTTTCATTCTCGAGAGGCAGCAAAACGCCTTGGTACACCTGCCGCAACAAATCTGTTTATCGGCAAGTGATCCTTCACTAAAGGCTGCTTCCAAAACCACATTTACCATGAAACTGGACTTACTCAAAAACTGATCTTGAAATCTGGTATTATTCCCACGGTACAAGATGTCAAGGAGGAGCATAGATCTGTAAATACATTGCCGTATTCTACCGTCAACTAAAGAATTAGGCTCAGATTCTGGATCGAGGACATAGAGGAGTGGGAGCCTCTTTATGCCGCTCCCTTTCCATACTCGAGCCTTTTCTGACCCAGACTTTTCTTCTAACTGAGCCTGTCTGTACTGGAACCTTCTGTACCAGAGTCCAGTATCCCCCAAACCCAAACCAAGCTCCAGGAGACGACTGCAGCAGCACGACTCTTTCATGTTTATATTTATTAGAGTGAAACACTATAAATACTACTTTTACACATTTTTGCCCAAAGAATTATTATGTGCCTAGTTTAGGTTTGAATGAAAGCATAAATCGCAAATGTTTGTTCTCAGGTTTGGGACCTCAGCGACATCGACAAAGATGGACACTTGGACAGAGATGAATTTGCAGTGGTGAGTGATCAATAACTGATAAATGGTTGTTTTTGTGTTGTAGCTGTGCTGCTGGCCGGTTCAACCTTTCAAAACTTACATAAGTATTGCCTCTAAATAAACAGACACAGATAAATACTGTTACGGCTGGCTCAGAGCCATAACAAATAGGGAGGCAAAACGGGGGTAAAAAGTGCACAAAATATATTTAATAATAACCAAAGAGGGGCGACAGTAGCTCAGTTGCGACAGTAGCTCAGTTGGTAGAGCATTGGCCTTTGAGCCTGAAGGTTGTGGGTTCGAGCCCACCGTAAGACCTACTTCACGACTCCCACTGATGACTGCTGTCGTTGTGTCCTTGGGCAAGACACTTAACCCCACTTTGCCTGAAGCTCCCACTGAAAGATCTCAGCTCCTGTGGACTCACCACCTGCAGGAGGATCAGTGAGGGGCTGGTGCTAAGTGTACTGGGTGCAGCTCTGACTGCCACCCCCCCGACCCAGAAATGGATTAAGGGGAAGAAAATGGATGGATGGATGAATAACCAAAGACGAGTATTACATGAACAAAAACAAGGTATGAGGTGTGAGCAGTAATCAGTGTGATGCAGGTGTGTGAGTGCAGTGAAGCAGCAGAGAGACCAGGACAGGAGAGACTGGTCCACTGATGAGGGGCGTGGCATGGTGCAGGGGTGAACCTGCACAGAGGAGGAGAGGCAGAGAAGGCAAACCCAGACAGCTCCCTCTCCTGGACACTAAGGACCTGGCCCGTAACAATACTTACTAACTCGGTCCTTCCATTCGCACCATTTGACCTAATTTACTATTTTAAATGTTAGTCTATCAGAACGTTATTGCTCACTTCTACCACTGGGGGCAGATGATGGGAGAGTTGCTCATTCCATCTAAAATACAAGAGACAAAGTAACTAAGTTCCTTTGGTTGTCTCTAAGTTTGATGGTCTCTTTGTTTACTCATTTACAATAAATTGAAAAAGAGATGATCATTGTAGTTAGTAAAGTGTGTATGTTTGTGTTTCAGGTATAGAAACAAAACTCAGATCAATGTCATTCAAATACTATCAGTTTATATAGAAAAGAAACTGTCCTGTTGTGATACACATAGACCTGTCACATAGGCCCGTCAAATAGGCCTGTCACATAGGCAGGCCATCTCTTTTGATCCTGACATAGGCCTGTCACATAGACCTGTCACATAGACTTGTCACATAGGCCTGTCACATAGACCTGTCACATAGGCCTGTCACATAGACCTGTCACATAGGCCTGTCACATAGGCCTGTCACATAGGCCTGTCACATAGACCTGTCACATAGGCCTGTCACATAGGCCTGTCACATAGGCCTGTCACATAGGCCTGTCACATAGACCTGTCACATAGGCCTGTCACATAGGCCTGTCACATAGGCCTGTCACATAGGCCTGTCACATAGGCCTGTCACATAGGCCTGTCACATAGGCCTGTCACATAGGCCTGTCACATAGGCCTGTCACATAGGCCTGTCACATAGGCCTGTCACATAGGCCTGTCACATAGGCAGGCCATCTCTTTTGATCCTGACATAGGCCTGTCACATAGACCTGTCACATAGGCCTGTCACATAGGCCTGTCACATAGACCTGTCACATAGGCCTGTCACATAGGCAGGCCATCTCTTTTGATCCTGACATAGGCCTGTCACATAGACCTGTCACATAGGCCTGTCACATAGACCTGTCACATAGACCTGTCACATAGACCTGTCACATAGACCTGTCACATAGGCCTGTCACATAGACCTGTCACATAGGCCTGTCACATAGGCCTGTCACATAGGCCTGTCACATAGGCCTGTCACATAGGCCTGTCACATAGGCCTGTCACATAGACCTGTCACATAGGCCTGTCACATAGGCCTGTCACATAGGCCTGTCACATAGGCCTGTCACATAGGCCTGTCACATAGGCCTGTCACATAGGCCTGTCACATAGGCCTGTCACATAGGCCTGTCACATAGACCTGTCACATAGGCCTGTCACATAGGCCTGTCACATAGGCCTGTCACATAGGCAGGCCATCTCTTTTGATCCTGACATAGGCCTGTCACATAGACCTGTCACATAGGCCTGTCACATAGGCCTGTCACATAGGCCTGTCACATAGGCCTGTCACATAGGCAGGCCATCTCTTTTGATCCTGACATAGGCCTGTCACATAGACCTGTCACATAGGCCTGTCACATAGGCCTGTCACATAGACCTGTCACATAGGCCTGTCACATAGGCAGGCCATCTCTTTTGATCCTGACATAGGCCTGTCACATAGACCTGTCACATAGGCCTGTCACATAGACCTGTCACATAGACTTGTCACATAGGCCTGTCACATAGACCTGTCACATAGACCTGTCACATAGGCCTGTCACATAGGCCTGTCACATAGGCCTGTCACATAGGCCTGTCACATAGGCCTGTCACATAGGCAGGCCATCTCTTTTGATCCTGACATAGGCCTGTCACATAGACCTGTCACATAGGCCTGTCACATAGACCTGTCACATAGACCTGTCACATAGACCTGTCACATAGACCTGTCACATAGGCCTGTCACATAGGCCTGTCACATAGACCTGTCACATAGGCCTGTCACATAGGCCTGTCACATAGGCCTGTCACATAGGCCTGTCACATAGGCCTGTCACATAGGCCTGTCACATAGGCCTGTCACATAGGCCTGTCACATAGGCCTGTCACATAGGCCTGTCACATAGGCCTGTCACATAGGCCTGTCACATAGACCTGTCACATAGGCCTGTCACATAGGCCTGTCACATAGGCCTGTCACATAGGCCTGTCACATAGACCTGTCACATAGACTTGTCACATAGGCCTGTCACATAGACCTGTCACATAGGCCTGTCACATAGACTTGTCACATAGGCCTGTCACATAGGCCTGTCACATTTTATTATATTAATTCGAGCAGAAATTTTACAATCATAAGTATTTACAATATTTACATTTCTTAGTTTACATGATTCTTTATACATGTTGCCTGCTGTACTTACAATATATACTTATACATGGAAATATACTGTATAAACATAACTACAATCAAGCAATAGTTGCCCTAGTTTCACCATGTATTGTATATCTACAATATCAATATGTATTTACAATACAGGTTCATTTGTAAATACATAACAATTGACTCTTTGATCTTTGAATATTTAGTTTTTGACAAAAGAGAGTAAAACTTGTGTGTAGCTTGTTTTTACTTTTACCTTATGTCTTCTGTAAACATGTTCTGTGTGACTCAGGCCATGTACTTGGTGTACCGCGCCCTGGAGAAGGAGCCCGTCCCATCAGCGCTGCCCCCCTCGCTGCTTCCTCCATCCAAGAGGAAAAAGAGCCTGGTGTCTGTGCCTGCCCTGCCCGCCAGCCCCCCACCCCCCAAAGACTCCCTGAGGTCTACCCCCTCCCATGGCAGCATGACGTCACTCAACAGCACGGGCAGCCTGTCCCCCAAGCACTCGCTCAAGTCAGCGCAGGTACCAGCTCGTGTGTGTCTGTGTGTGTGTGCGTGTGTGTATCTGTGTGTGTGTGTGTCTGTGTGTGTGTGTGTGTCTGCGTCTGCTGTCTGTGTGGGTGTGTGTCTGTTGTCTGCGTCTGCGTGTTGTCTGCCGTCTGTGTGGGTGTAACCAGACCACTCTTCTTGTCCCAGACACATGTAAACCTGTACTTGTGTATGTGTATATACGTTATATTGTTTACACTAAAGCAGTGATTCTCAAAATGTGGTACGTGGGGCTCCCTCTAGTGGTACGCCAAAGAATCACTGAAATAAAAAAAGTAAGAGACTGAGAGACTTCTTTAAAAATGACGGAAACCCCATACATAATATGACTACTATTACTTGTACTACAAAACATCTTTGTTTTTAGATTTGTTCAATGTTTAAAAAATGAAATAGTTGCTGAACGCGAGCATGCCTCTGGTGTATGGTCAGCAGGCGGTAAACTGGGTGGTGCCCGTGTCGGAGCGTGGACGTTATGACGACATCTTCCTGAAGACAGACGCCGACATGGATGGCTTTGTGAGCGGCCTGGAGGTCAAGGACATCTTCATGCAGTCCGGACTCTCCCAGAATGTACTCGCCCATATATGGTCAGTAAGATACTTTTCTACAGCTGTAACATATATTATGTGCATTTATAGATTCCATTATGTTGCTGTCAATCTGGAATATCCCTGTCCTAACCAACCCAGAATATCCCTGTCCTAACCAACCCAGAATATCCCTGTCCAACCAACTCGGAAAATCCCTGTCGTAACCAACCCAGAATATCCCTGTCCAACCAACCCGGAATATCCCTGTCCAACCAACCCGGAATATCCCTGTCCAACCAACCCGGAATATCCCTGTCCTAACCAACCCGAATATCCCTGTCCAACCAACCCAGAATATCCCTGTCCAACCAACCCGGAATATCCCTGTCCAACCAACCCGGAATATCCCTGTCCAACCAACCCGGAATATCCCTGTCCAACCAACCCAGAATATCCCTGTCCAACCAACCCGGAAAATCCCTGTTGTAACCAACCCAGAATATCCCTGTCCAACCAACCCGGAATATCCCTGTCCTAACCAACCCAGAATATCCCTGTCCAACCAACCCGGAATATCCCTGTCCAACCAACCCGGAATATCCCTGTCCAACCAACCCGGAATATCCCTGTCCTAACCAACCCAGAATATCCCTGTCCAACCAACCCGGAATATCCCTGTCCAACCAACCCGGAATATCCCTATCCAACCAACCCAGAATATCCCTGTCCAACCAACCCAGAATATCCCTGTCCAACCAACCCGGAATATCCCTGTCCAACCAACCCGGAATATCCCTGTCCAACCAACCCGGAATATCCCTGTCCTAACCAACCCAGAATATCCCTGTCCAACCAACCCAGAATATCCCTGTCCAACCAACCCGGAATATCCCTGTCCAACCAACCCGGAATATCCCTGTCCAACCAACCCGGAATATCCCTGTCCAACCAACCCAGAATATCCCTGTCCAACCAACCCGGAAAATCCCTGTTGTAACCAACCCAGAATATCCCTGTCCAACCAACCCGGAATATCCCTGTCCTAACCAACCCAGAATATCCCTGTCCAACCAACCCGGAATATCCCTGTCCAACCAACCCGGAATATCCCTGTCCAACCAACCCGGAATATCCCTGTCCTAACCAACCCAGAATATCCCTGTCCAACCAACCCGGAATATCCCTGTCCAACCAACCCGGAATATCCCTGTCCAACCAACCCGGAATATCCCTGTCCAACCAACCCGGAATATCCCTGTCCAACCAACCCGGAATATCCCTGTCCAACCAACCCAGAATATCCCTGTCCAACCAACCCGGAATATCCCTGTCCAACCAACCCGGAATATCCCTGTCCAACCAACCCGGAATATCCCTGTCCTAACCAACCCAGAATATCCCTGTCCAACCAACCCGGAATATCCCTGTCCTAACCAACCCGGAATATCCCTGTCCAACCAACCCGGAATATCCCTGTCCAACCAACCCGGAATTTCCCTGTCCAACCAACCCCGAATATCCCTGTCCAACCAACCCGGAATATCCCTGTCATAACCAACCCAGAATATCCCTGTCCAACCAACCCGGAATATCCCTGTCCAACCAACCCCGAATATCCCTGTCCTAACCAACCCGGAATATCCCTGTCCAACCAACCCAGAAAATCCCTGTCCAACCAACCCCGAATATCCCTGTCCAACCAACCCGGAATATCCCTGTCCAACCAACCCCGAATATCCCTGTCCTAACCAACCCGGAATATCCCTGTCCAACCAACCCAGAATATCCCTGTCCAACCAACCCGGAATATCCCTGTCCAACCAACCCGGAATATCCCTGTCCTAACCAACCCAGAATATCCCTGTCCAACCAACCCGGAATATCCCTGTCCAACCAACCCGGAATATCCCTGTCCAACCAACCCAGAATATCCCTGTCCAACCAACCCGGAATATCCCTGTCCTAACCAACCCAGAATATCCCTGTCCAACCAACCCGGAATATCCCTGTCCAACCAACCCGGAATATCCCTGTCCAACCAACCCGGAATATCCCTGTCCAACCAACCCGGAATATCCCTGTCCAACCAACCCGGAACATCCCTGTCATAACCAACCCGGAATATCCCTGTCCAACCAACCCAGAATATCCCTGTCCAAACAACCCGGAATATCCCTGTCCAACCTTCCCGGAATATCCCTGTCCAACCAACCCGGAATATCCCTGTCCAACCAACCTGGAATATCCCTGTCCAACCAACCCAGAATATCCCTGTCCAACCAACCCGGAATATCCCTGTCCAACCAACCCGGAATATCCCTGTCCAACCAACCCGGAATATCCCTGTCCAACCAACCCGGAATATCCTTGTCCAACCAATCCGGAATATCCCTGTCCAACCTTCCCGGAATATCCCTGTCCAACCAACCCGGAATATCCCTATCCAACCAACCCAGAATATCCCTGTCCAACCAACCCGGAATATCCCTGTCCAACCAACCCGGAATATCCCTGTCCAACCAACCCGGAATATCCCTGTCATAACCAACCCAGAATATCCCTGTCCAACCAACCCGGAATATCCCTGTCCAACCAACCCAGAATATCCCTGCCCAACCAACCCGGAATATCCCTGTCCTAACCAAGTGTGATGCCTTAGAAGTGCGGTAACAATACTCCATGGTATAGCCACGGTCCTGCCCCCTTCTTTAGTGTGAGAAGACAGGAAGAATACATTTGTTCTTCTATATCAGTGATCTCCAACATTTTTAGTGCCACGGACCGGTTTAAAGTCTGACAATAATTGCACGGACCGGATCCAAACGCACCGCATGTCTCTGCTCTTGTCTCTTGTTAAAGCATTATTCTCTTTACAGCGCGTTTGTAAAGCTTACACGAGCTACGAGTCTCTGTGCAGCAGGAGCCTCTTCCGAACGCAGACATTGGTTTATTAGATAAGATAAGATATACTTTATTAATCTCACACAGGGGAAATTTACATATATACATACATACTGTATATTTTTTTAAATAAATACGGAAATGATGTATTCTTTCCTTTTTGGCCCGGTTCGAATGCCCCACGGCGGTGAAGGTTGGGGACCACTGTTCTATATCACCATCAAGTCCAAACTGTGGTATACTGCATGTCAGTGGTTCTCAAAGTGTGGTACGCGGGGCTTCCTCTAGTGCAGCCATTCCCAAACTCAGTAACACCGAGGCCCCCTTAAAAATCTGACGGGTCTGCGTGGCCCCCCAAAATAATAACCAAGAAGACAACATTAAGAATAGGCTATTCTGGTTATTTTATTTTGGGGAAATAGCCTCTGCTACAAACATTGTAATACAAAAATGATTACAGTGGATTATTCAAGTCAAATAATGAACACAAATATTTTAATATTACAAACAAAACATTATAAATTTAACATTAAATAATTATATTATTTTTTTTATTTTTTTTATGACCTCCCGCGGCCCCCCTGCAGTACCCTCGCGGCCCACCAGGGGGCCGCGGACCCCACTTTGGGAGACACTGCTCTAGTGGTACGCCAAAGAATCACTGAAATAATTTAGAAGAATAAAAATAAAACTTTATGTTTATTTTTTTTACCAGGAAAGTCCCATTGAGATTAAGAACCTCTTTTTCAAAGGAGTCCTGGACAAAAATTACATAAAATTACAGATTATAAAAAAGTGACATACAGTTTCATAAAATTACGGATTATAAAAACAGTTACATTTCAATGAGGACGTCTCAGTCTCAATCTGGATCTAAAAGCATTTAATAAAATAAGTTCAGACAATTTCCAGTCTTTTTGCTACACGTTCCATGAAGAAGGAGCAGCAAATACAAAAGTGCAAAAGAATGTCTTTGTGTTAGTAAATGGCAGAAGTGAGATGCTGAGACTGGAGTTATGTGGTCACAGCGCCCCGTGCCAGTGAGGAGTCGAGCTCTGTATCAGGTGGCTAACTCCAAAGTAAAATAAAGTCAATTTCCGTGCTTCACTGAAGGACAAATGTTAAAAGCCAGTGTCAATCCCACTTATAATAGACCTTGTGTGTTTCCAGGGCGTTGGCCGACACCAGGCAGCAGGGCAAGCTGACCCGGGAACAGTTCTCTTTAGCCATGCACTTGATCCAGCAGAAAGTGAGCAAAGGGCTGGACCCTCCTCAGACGCTGACTGCAGATATGATGCCCCCTTCAGAGAGAGGGACCCCTGTGCCCGTAAGTCGGCTTCTGCAGTCACCGAACGACACTGGGGCAGCTGGAACGCATGCTATACTTCAGGAATGTCTGAATAAAAAGTATAATCTTAGAAGGGGACAGCTTAGGAATGTTCATCATGTCTGTTTAGTTCTTCTTTATCATGTCAAGATTAAAACATTGGTAACTTTCTTTTGTCTGTTAAAGAAGAACATATCAGTACTCGGTATGGGACAGTATAAACATATGACCGACCAAAAGCATCTTGATTATTGATCATGTCTGTTTCTGACCAACACATTCTCTTCTTTACACAAATAAGGAGCTCTCTGTGCACTATGCTAGGACCTGTGAGCATGTATGTGGTGTGCTGTGTGCAGGGCATGGGGGCTTACATGGCCACAGCGGGCTCTGACATGGTGGCTCTGTCTGACATGAGGAGGGTAAGTGTATATATAGATTTATGTATTTATCCATTCATTCAATATTTTAAAACATTAATTAAAAACACATTTTACATGGTCGAATGATGACATTGACATTTCAAGCAAAAACCATTTGTTGTAAGAAATGACTGTTTTGTTCTTCCTTGAACAGGACAGCTCGAGCTCTGTGGGATCAGGGGAGTTCACTGGGATCAAAGAACTGGACGACTTGAGCCAGGAGATCGCACAGCTGCAGAGGTAGCTACTGTTACAGTCTGATCCACTACTGGGCAGGGACCCCACACCACAGCATGAAACCCACTCCCAACCCCCACTGAAGAATACAATCTGAAGTAGTCATAATTTGAAATGTCAAAACAACCTAAATGTATTTATTCTAGCCCAAAATTGATTACATTTAACTTAAATTATTAAAGTTTGTTTAACAAAAATCTCTTTAGGAATCACTGCCCAAACAATCTTTACATTTATTATATAGTCCACCACTATTTAAACTGCGTCTGAATAAGCGTCAGAGGTCCCTAACCAGTGGTATGGAGCTACGACCATCCCACAATGCACTGCTGTGTGTGAGTGTGTGTCTGTCTGTGTGTCTGTGTCAGTGTCTGTGTCTGTGTCTGTGTCTGTGTCTGTGTCTGTGTCAGTGTCAGTGTCAGTGTCAGTGTCAGTGTCAGTGTCAGTGTCAGTGTCTGTGTCTGTGTCTGTGTCTGTGTCTGTGTCTGTGTCAGTGTCAGTGTCAGTGTCTGTGTCTGTGTCAGTGTCAGTGTCAGTGTCAGTGTCAGTGTCAGTGTCAGTGTCAGTGTGTGTGTGTGTGAGTGTGAGTGTGTGAGCAACAATCATGAGTATGCAATGTGCCACTCTCAGACTGTTTTTGTCACTGCATTGTGACCAGAGTGATTTCTGATTGATACAGTCATAGCAGTTGGGGGCGACAGTAGCTCAGTTGGTAGAGCATTGGCCTTCAGGCCTGAAGGTCGTGGGTTCATTTCCCACCTCTACACCTTCTCCACCGGCTCCCACTGATGACTGCGTAGTTGTGTCCTTGGGCAAGACACTTAACCCCACTTTGCCCAAAGCCCCCACTGAAAGATCAAGGCTATGCTCACAGTCAGAGAGCAGCCGTCCTCCTGTGGACTCACCACCTGCAGAGGGTCAGTGAGGGGCTGGTGCTATGAGACTTGGGTGGCATCTCTGACTGCCACCCCCCTGACCCAGAAATGGATTAAAGGGTAGAAGATGGATGGATGGATGGATGGACAGTCATAGTTTGGGTTTTTCCATGCTGGAAGATCAGACAGCGCTCGTGTCCAAAGTAGGGTAGAAGTGCAGCCTGGAAAAGCCATGTTCCAATGTGGTTTTACTGTAAATGGCAAATAAAATGAATCTGAATCTATAACCACCACAGATGATCTCAGATGTTCAGGTGTAACTATGATGTCGTTGCCAGGGAGAAATACAGTCTGGAGCAGGACATCCGAGAAACAGAGGAGTCCATCAGACACAAGACCACCGAGGTCCAGGTAAGACCCATTCTTATCAGCAATTCGGCGCCTTCAAGATTACTGCGGTTGGGATTTTGGGTGCTACAGAATACATTTTATTTTATTTGATAGGACTAGAGATCCTTTGGCTATTTGTAAAGGGCTTTGTGTGTTCCAGGACATGCAGAGCGACTTGGACCGAGAGACAGCTGCGCTGCAGGAGCTGGAGGCCCAGAAGCAGGAGGCCAACGAGCGCCTGGAGGAGATGGACCAGCAGAAGAATAAGCTCGAGGACATGCTCAACGAAGTGCGCATCAAGTGTCAGGAGGAGTCGCACATGGTCAGTATTGCATTTACAAGCTACATCCCACTTTCTGTGTTAATGCATCCAATTAGAACATCTTTCTTGGCAATTTGTTTTCCCCAATTGTCCCAACAGTGATGTTTTGTGTGATGTGATATGTGCAGATCTCTGACCTGCAGACCCAGATCCACTGTCAAGAGTCAGACCTCCACACTCAGGAGGAAGAGCTGAGTCGAGCTAAAGCCGATCTTGGCAGGCTGCAACAGGAGGAGTGCCAGCTGGAGCAGAGCCTCAGTGCAGGAAAGATCCAACTCGAGACCATCATCAAGTCTCTGAAGGCCACACAGGACGAGATCAACCAGGTATTTATCCGGAGGAACCTTTTTTTACCCATCCTCTTGTCCCTCCCTTGTTTGCCTTTGCCGGACATGTCAACTGTGAAATGTGCTGTTGTTTGCTGTTCCACTCACTTCAAACTCACTGACACATCCTGACTGACATGTGAGCTTTGGAGAGATCCTTATTGGGTGTCTGCCCTCAGGCACGCAGTAAGCTGTGTCAAATCCAGGACAGCCAGCAGGAGGTGTCCCGCAGCATCGAGCAGTTCACCAGCACCCTGAACGGCACCCATGGGGGCAGCATGACCAACCTGGCTGATATGGGAGAGACCTTCACTGAACGGGAGAACGGGGGGTTCTCTGCCCCCAGATCCACCCAGGTACCAGGTCCCTCTGGATGTGGTGATCTTCAAAGAGTGCGTTCTGTTGTAATTGTACATGTAAAGTGAGTTATATGACGTTCATGTTCATTCTGTGAGAGAAAAATCACATTTGAGCATCCTTGGCTTAGCCAACCATTCTCCACTGAAACATTTCAGCCGAACTCCATGCACAACGCTGGGGGCTCACAGAGAGCCTCTCACCTCCCTCAAGGGGCACAAAATATTTTTAAAAGACCGGACTTGATGGATGACTCTTGGGATGGCTGCCATGACTCTTGGGATGGCATTACCCGGTCATGGAGCGAGCCGCTTTCATGTAGCTTTGTTGACATTTTTCTAAGTCGGGCTCCAAAAGTGAGGGGCTGGTGCTATGTGTACTGGGTGCAGCTCTGACTGCCACCCCCCCCGACCCAGAAATGGATTAAGGGGAAGAAAATGGATGGATGGATAATAATAATTATTGTTATTATTATAAGCCCCAAGAAAAATACATTTTTCTATACCTAGCCGTTCTTTCATATTTTTTTTTCTCAACCCTGAGTCACTCAGAGCTCACTGAGTTCTATTTGGCGATATAAGACACTTTCCACTAAACATGAACAATAGATTTAATCCTCCAGTAGTCCTGACCAAGCCAAGCAGCAACTAGGTCTAGATCCAGTAGATGGCGACCACTGAGGCCCTTGTGGAAGTCAAAGCAGAGGACAATGTTTTCAACCTGGGTAATAAAGTATACTTTGCCTTACCTTAGGTGGAGGATCCGTTCAAAGTGAAGGCGTCTGTGTTCCCCAGTCAGCCTCAGTGTGTGTTTGCTAGCCAGCCCCCAGAACTCCCCAGAGACCCCTTCCACACTGAGGACCCCTTCAAGAGCGACCCATTCAAAGGTATGTCCTGCTGCCTAATACCAAACAGATTTATTACATATGTGCTTGTTGTGGCCATTGGCTCCTCTCAGCCCTCTGTATATGGCCTTTAATTATTTAAATTGTTTGTATACATTGCATACATAGTCGTCATTGTCATACATTCTAAAATATGTTATGAAGAGATAAGTGCTTTTTCATTAAATAACAGAAAGACGCACGCCAAAAATTGAAAGGTCAATAGATCGCCAACTCCACTTTGATCTCGATAATCTACTATATCTTTGTATTTGACACACATGTGCAATTATTAGTCCAGTCTATGTGAAAGACTTTGATGATCCTGATCCCTTTACTCCTGTGGAGGAATACAATAATAATAATAATAATAATAATACAATTGACTGAACACGACCTGGAGCTCCTCTGATAGCCCAGGTCACGACAGCGCATCACGGAGATGTTGATGGGTTGGTGTCGGTAAACTAGTCCTCAACTTTTTCCTTTGGCTCTCTGCTTTCTGCTTGTGACCTTGTGTCTCCTCTTTTCTGGCTTGTGTGTGTTTGTCTTCCTTTGCTGTTGAAGGCGACCCTTTTCAATCTGACCCGTTCGCAAAGCTGCCCACAGGAGCCCCAGGTATAATCCTCTGTGAGGGAACAAGCTCCCATTACACTTCTATGTACTCTTTATTATGTACAACTGTCTTATTATTCCTCATTAAAATATATACGACTGTAGTAACAGTACAGTTATACTGTCAGACTGTAGTAAGAGTACTTTTACACTGTCAGACTGTAGTAAGAGTACTGTTATACTGTCAGACTGTAGTAAGAGTACTGTTATACTGTCAGACTGTAGTAAGAGTACTCTTATACTGTCAGACTGTAGTAAGAGTACTGTTATACTGTCAGACTGTAGTAAGAGTACTGTTACACTGTCAGACTGTAGTAAGAGTACTGTTACACTGTCAGACTGTAGTAAGAGTACTGTTTCACTGTCAGACTGTAGTAAGAGTACTGTTACAGGGCGGCACGGTGGCTGAGTGGATAGCACTCTCGCCTCGCAGCAAGAAGGTCCTGGGTTCGAATCCTGGCCGGACCAGGGTCTTTCTGAGTGGAGTTTGCATGTTCTCCCCGTGTCTGCGTAGGTGTCCTCCGGGTACTCCGGTTTCCCCTACCACTAAAAACATGCACAATAGGTCTGGCATGCGCCTCCTGTACTGGCGACCCCGCTCCCATCTCTGTGTGGAGTGAGAGGATAAGTGCCCAAAAATAATAACAATTGTAAACCGCTTTGAGACTCTGGTCTGTGAAAGGCGGTATATAAATAAAGATTACTTACTTACTTACTTACACGGTCAGACTGTACTAAGAGTACTGTTACTGTCAGACTGTAGTAAGAGTACTGTTACTGTCAGACTGTAGTAAGAGTACTGTTACTGTCAGACTGTAGTAAGAGTACTGTTACTGTCAGACTGTAGTAAGAGTACTGTTACACTGTCAGACTGTAGTAAGAGTACTGTTACACTGTCAGACTGTAGTAAGAGTACTGTTACACTGTCAGACTGTAGTAAGAGTACTGTTTCACTGTCAGACTGTAGTAAGAGTACTGTTACTGTCAGACTGTAGTAAGAGTACTGTTACTGTCAGACTGTAGTAAGAGTACTGTTACACTGTCAGACTGTAGTAAGAGTACTGTTACACTGTCAGACAGTAGTAAGAGTACTGTTTCACTGTCAGACTGTAGTAAGAGTACTGTTACACTGTCAGACTGTAGTAAGAGTACTGTTACACTGTCAGACTGTAGTAAGAGTACTGTTACACTGTCAGACTGTAGTAACATTACTGTTATACTTTCAGACTGTAGTAACAGTACTGTTACACTGTCAGACTGTAGTAAAAGTACTTTTACCCTGTCAGTCTGTAGTAAGAGTACTGTTACTGTCAGACTGTAGTAAGAGTACTGTTTCACTGTCAGACTGTAGTAAGAGTATTGTTACACTGTCAGACTGTAGTAAGAGTACTGTTACTGCCAGACTGTAGTAAGAGTACTGTTACACTGTCAGACTGTAGTAACATTACTGTTATACTTTCAGACTGTAGTAACAGTACTGTTACACTGTCAGACTGTAGTAAAAGTACTTTTACCCTGTCAGTCTGTAGTAAGAGTACTGTTACTGTCAGACTGTAGTAAGAGTACTGTTTCACTGTCAGACTGTAGTAAGAGTACTGTTACACTGACAGACTGTAGTAAGAGTACTGTTACACTGTCAGACTGTAGTAAGAGTACTGTTACACTGTCAGACTGTAGTAAGAGTACTGTTATACTGTCAGACTGTAGTAAGAGTACTGTTATACTGTCAGACTGTAGTAAGAGTACTGTTACACTGTCAGACTGTAGTAAGAGTACTGTTACACTGTCAGACTGTAGTAAGAGTACTGTTACTGTCAGACTGTAGTAAGAGTACTGTTACAGGGCGGCACGGTGGCTGAGTGGATAGCACTCTCGCCTCTCAGCAAGAAGGTCCTGGGTTCGAATCCTGGCCGGACCAGGGTCTTTCTGAGTGGAGTTTGCATGTTCTCCCCGTGTCTGCGTAGGTGTCCTCCGGGTACTCCGGTTTCCCCTACCACTAAAAACATGCACAATAGGTCTGGCATGCGCCTCCTGTACTGGCGACCCCGCTCCCATCTCTGTGTGGAGTGAGAGGATAAGTGCCCAAAAATAATAACAATTGTAAACCGCTTTGAGACTCTGGTCTGTGAAAGGCGGTATATAAATAAAGATTACTTACTTACTTACTTACACGGTCAGACTGTAGTAAGAGTACTGTTACTGTCAGACTGTAGTAAGAGTACTGTTACTGTCAGACTGTAGTAAGAGTACTGTTACTGTCAGACTGTAGTAAGAGTACTGTTACTGTCAGACTGTAGTAAGAGTACTGTTACACTGTCAGACTGTAGTAAGAGTACTGTTACACTGTCAGACTGTAGTAAGAGTACTGTTACACTGTCAGACTGTAGTAAGAGTACTGTTTCACTGTCAGACTGTAGTAAGAGTACTGTTACTGTCAGACTGTAGTAAGAGTACTGTTACTGTCAGACTGTAGTAAGAGTACTGTTACACTGTCAGACTGTAGTAAGAGTACTGTTACACTGTCAGACAGTAGTAAGAGTACTGTTTCACTGTCAGACTGTAGTAAGAGTACTGTTACACTGTCAGACTGTAGTAAGAGTACTGTTACACTGTCAGACTGTAGTAAGAGTACTGTTACACTGTCAGACTGTAGTAACATTACTGTTATACTTTCAGACTGTAGTAACAGTACTGTTACACTGTCAGACTGTAGTAAAAGTACTTTTACCCTGTCAGTCTGTAGTAAGAGTACTGTTACTGTCAGACTGTAGTAAGAGTACTGTTTCACTGTCAGACTGTAGTAAGAGTATTGTTACACTGTCAGACTGTAGTAAGAGTACTGTTACTGCCAGACTGTAGTAAGAGTACTGTTACACTGTCAGACTGTAGTAACATTACTGTTATACTTTCAGACTGTAGTAACAGTACTGTTACACTGTCAGACTGTAGTAAAAGTACTTTTACCCTGTCAGTCTGTAGTAAGAGTACTGTTACTGTCAGACTGTAGTAAGAGTACTGTTTCACTGTCAGACTGTAGTAAGAGTACTGTTACACTGACAGACTGTAGTAAGAGTACTGTTACACTGACAGACTGTAGTAACAGTACTGTTATACTTTCAGACTGTAGTAAGAGTACTGTTACACTGACAGACTGTAGTAAGAGTATTGTTACACTGTCAGACTGTAGTAAGAGTACTGTTTCACTGTCAGACTGTAGTAAGAGTATTGTTACACTGTCAGACTGTAGTAAGAGTACTGTTACTGTCAGACTGTAGTAAGAGTATTGTTACATTGTCAGACTGTAGTAAGAGTACTGTTTCACTGTCAGACTGTAATAAGAGTACTGTTACACTGTCAGACTGTAGTAACAGTACTGTTACACTGACAGACTGTAGTAAGAGTACTGTTACACTGACAGACTGTAGTAAGAGTACTGTTACACTGACAGACTGTAGTAACAGTACTGTTATACTTTCAGACTGTAGTAAGAGTACTGTTACACTGACAGACTGTAGTAAGAGTATTGTTACACTGTCAGACTGTAGTAAGAGTACTGTTACACTGTCAGACTGTAGTAAGAGTACTGTTACACTGTCAGACTGTAGTAAGAGTACTGTTACACTGTCAGACTGTAGTAAGAGTACTGTTACACTGTCAGACTGTAGTAAGAGTACTGTTACACTGTCAGACTGTAGTAAGAGTACTGTTACACTGTCAGACTGTAGTAAGAGTACTGTTACACTGTCAGACTGTAGTAAGAGTACTGTTACACTGTCAGACTGTAGTAAGAGTACTGTTACACTGTCAGACTGTAGTAAGAGTACTGTTACACTGTCAGACTGTAGTAAGAGTACTGTTACACTGTCAGACTGTAGTAAGAGTACTGTTACACTGTCAGACTGTAGTAAGAGTACCGTTTCACTGTCACATATCTGACTTTTTCTGGTTCAGATCCTTTTGGAGGTGACCCTTTCAAAGAGACGGACCCATTCAAGTCTTCGTCAGAAGATTTCTTTAAGAAGACAGCTAAGGACCCCTTCTCTGCTGCAGACCCCTTCTGCAAAAGTGCCACGCTACCATCCAAGGTATGCACCGAGGCTTAGGATTTCTGTTGTCAAATATTGAACCAGGACAATTGTTAATTCTATCACCATTTGTTAGTTTGGATCTCAAAGGTAATGAATGTTGGCGACATCTCTACTACTCACTGTCAATCATTGTGCTCAGCATCATCACATCCGGCCATGCTCAGTGGATAGACAGCCCTGTTTATGTAGCTTGATGGTGCATAACGCCGGTTGTTTGTGATTTTGGAGAAAGTAGAAGAGCTGGAAATGAGACAAACATTGGTGGGGGTCGCTGAGAAGATTTTAAAGACAGTAAAGGACCAGCATAAAAAATGTCCCTCGATATCTTGAAAGATCTGCCGGTGTGAGTTAACCTCAAACCAATCTGTTGATTGGTTAAATTACCTCAGTAAAGGCTTCTACTATGTGCTACCATGGCATGTTATACACTTTATTGTCCTACCTTTATTTATTCCTAATTCATGAACCCAAAATGTTATTAGTCACAATTTGCTAATTGGGACTAATAAACAACTTAATGATTGAAAAATAAAGTAAAATATTTAATATTTAACATGTATTAATTAATAAATAGTAATATATATAATCTCCTCCACTCCTGTGGACTCAGCTCCTGCAGGAGGATCAGTGAGGGGCTGGTGCTCTGTGTACTGGGTGCAGCTCTGACTGCCACCCCCCCGACCCAGAAATGGATTAAGGGGAAGAAAATGGATGGATGGATGAATCTAATAATTAACTGGTCTGGCCCTCCACAGTAGGGCTATATCCTAAAGTGGCCCCCCGAACTACGTGGACGAAGACGTCAGACCAACCACTTCACAGCCAAGACCTTTAGATGAGCACAGTGTCTAAACGAGACACGTTCATCCAGTCCAGCCTGGTGTTGTAGACCAGGTCTAGACCAGGTCTGGCCCAGATCTGAACTAGATCAATTGACTGAACAAATCACTCTGTCTCTTTCAGCAAACCAGTCCCTTCCCAAACGCTGACCCCTTCACTTCAAGCAATCCCAAGTCTAAAGGACAAGGTTTGTGTTTTTGTAAGAAACAAAGCGATAATAAAAGAACAGATTCAGTCCAGTTTAAGCTGACCTCAGGGATCTATGCAAGCATATGAAGGTGTACTGGTGATTGTATTTTTTAAACGTTTTAAAAGACTTTTGTAGAATAAAGTGATACATTAGAAACACAATGAATTAATTTCTAGTAGTTGCCCTCTGCTGTGAGCCTGTGTGCCTGTTCTCAGACCTGTTCGGCTCCCTGGACCCCTTTGGCAGCAGCTCCTTCAGCAGCACCAACACCTCCACAGGCTTCGCCGACTTCAGCCACATGTCTAAACCCAGAGATCCATTCGAGGGCAGGGCCAGCTGGCTGCCCGAATACCAGAAGGTACCTCACATCTCACATGATTATAAAGAAAAGAAAGAAACCTATGATGGAAAATGTTATTTTTGGATTTTTTGTTCCTCATCAAAAACAGATCTGGAGTTGTTTTTTAATCTCCATTCATGCTGATACGAGGAACTCCTAACACACACCCGTTCCTCCGCCACTTCTCTTTAAATGCTCCTCTCTCAAACTATTATGTTTTTGCGGAAAAAAGAACACACATAATCAGGGCTTAAAGACTTAAGGTGTGCGTTGTAACACTCAGCCCCTCGGAGCGCGCACTACAAAATACATCGAGGTAACTGTGACGCTTTATACCCGCTGTGATTGACCTAACGCTGATCAAAGAAAAACAACCACTCATTAATCTACTGTGCGTAACGTGTACTCCATTTACTCAGTACTCAGTCCATAACAAGCAATAATCAGAGACAATATATCAGACTTAGTCCTCCCCGCGCCCACCGTATGCCCCACTGTAAAACCTGGTGACGAGTACGTGGCTCCGGTGATAGTCCGTGTAGTTCAAAAGGCAAATCCAAGAGTTGACAAAACGATGTAAGTAATCCAAACAGAACGGGAAAGTAATCCAACTGGGAAAGTAATCCAAACGTTCAGAGTGTGGACAGAGCGCAGTGGGTGAGTGCGCTCTCCCTCTCCAGTGTATAAAGTTCATAAACAAAACGCGCACAGGCCGTGCGTGAGCGGCAACCGGGCTCTCCTGCCGGGTCCGTCCCGAGGGTCTGTACAGTCCGCTACAATAATCCCCCCCACAGATCTCCGACTCAAGTCTCTCGTGGTCTCCTCGAGCCGTGTCCAAAACCAAAAACTCCCCTGTCTCTCCCCTGCGCACCTGATGGCAGGTCTCTGATGAGCGCTCCCTCCCGGGACACGCCCCCCCAGTTCATTCACAAAACAGACCTGTCCCATTAGGCCCAAAACATAAACAAATATACTTAAACACACATTAACACATTTTAACCATTTGTGGCTATGCTACAGAGTCATGTAAAAAATATTTTATTAACCCACATTTATAGATACAGCACACAGAATAGCAGATGTTTCACCCCGACGTGGCCGCGGTGGAAGCATTCTGCGAACGCAATGCAGAGGAGGGCATATAACACATGTGGGTGAATCTGGGGGGGATTGACAACAACAAAAATCTTTCGACAGAAGTGTGTGACATTAGTGGGGATGTTGCTAAAAAGCAGTCCAAGTCTGTTGTTGCTGAGGTTCAATGTTGGAACTACTTGAATGTCGTATAAAGAGAGTTTGTCATGTTGTTTGCAGTCAGCATTTACAGAGGACCCCTTCAGTAGAAAAAGTGACACTCCAGCTTTGCCTCCCAAGAAAGGGGTGCCCCCAAGACCCAAGCCCCCCAGTGGTGAGTCGCATTGCGCTGCTGCACACGCAGGTGTGTGAGCGTGTTTAGAATGACCGTGTGTCTCGTGTCCAGGTAAAAGCACTCCAGTGAGCGGAGAGTCCAAAAGCGATCCGTTCCAGCCGTTTGCCTGTGAGTCTGTGGACCCCTTTCAAAGTAAGAAAGGCCTGGACCCCTTCAGCACCAAGGACCCCTTCAACACAACCACCACTACAACCACGTCCAGCACCACACGTACGTAAGAGCCTAACCACGTCCAGCACCACACGTACGTAAGAGCCTAACTATGTCCTGCACCACACGTACGTAAGAGCCTAACTATGTCCTGCACCACACGTACGTAAGAGCCTAACTATGTCCAGCACCACACGTACGTAAGAGCCTAACTATGTCCTGCACCACACGTATGTAAGAGCCTAACTATGTCCTGCACCACACGTACGTAAGAGCCTAACTATGTCCAGCACCACACGTACGTAAGAGCCTAACTATGTCCAGCACCACACGTACGTAAGAGCCTAACTATGTCCTGCACTACACGTACGTAAGAGCCTAACTATGTCCTGCACCACACGTACGTAAGAGCCTAACTGTCCTGCACCACACGTACGTAAGAGCCTAACTATGTCCTGCACCACACGTACGTAAGAGCCTAACTATGTCCAGCACCACACGTACGTAAGAGCCTAACTATGTCCTGCACTACACGTACGTAAGAGCCTAACTATGTCCTGCACCACACGTACGTAAGAGCCTAACTATGTCCTGCACCACACGTACGTAAGAGCCTAACTATGTCCTGCACCACACGTATGTAAGAGCCTAACTATGTCCTGCACCACACGTACGTAAGAGCCTAACTATGTCCTGCACTACACGTACGTAAGAGCCTAACTATGTTCTGCACCACACGTACGTAAGAGCCTAACTATGTCCTGCACCACACGTACGTAAGAGCCTAACTATGTCCAGCACCACACGTACGTAAGAGCCTAACTATGTCCTGCACACGACCACACGTACGTAAGAGCCTAACTATGTCCTGCACCACACACGTATGTAAGAGCCTAACTAGCCTATGTCCTGCACCACACGTAGTAAGAGCCTAACTATGTCCTGCACCACACGTACGTAAGAGCCTAACTATGTCCAGCACCACACGTACGTAAGAGCCTAACTATGTCCTGCACCACACGTAGAGCCTAACTATAACCAAGTACCTGCACACACGTAGTAAGAGCCTAACAGTCCTGCACCACACGTACGTAAGAGCCTAACTATGTCCAGCACCACACGTACGTAAGAGCCTAACTATGTCCTGCACCACACGTATGTAAGAGCCTAACTATGTCCTGCACCACACGTACGTAAGAGCCTAACTATGTCCTGCACTACACGTATGTAAGAGCCTAACTATGTCCTGCACCACACGTACGTAAGAGCCTAACTATGTCCTGCACCACACGTACGTAAGAGCCTAACTATGTCCTGCACCACACGTACGTAAGAGCCTAACTATGTCCTGCACCACACGTATGTAAGAGCCTAACTATGTCCTGCACCACACGTACGTAAGAGCCTAACCACGTCCAGCACCACACGTACGTAAGAGCCTAAATATGTCCTGCACCACACGTACGTAAGAGCCTAACTATGTCCTGCACCACACGTACGTAAGAGCCTAACTATGTCCTGCACCACACGTACGTAAGAGCCTAACTATGTCCTGCACCACACGTACGTAAGAGCCTAACTATGTCCTGCACCACACGTACGTAAGAGCCTAACTATGTCCTGCACCACACGTACGTAAGAGCCTAACTATGTCCAGCACCACACGTACGTAAGAGCCTAACTATGTCCTGCACCACACGTACGTAAGAGCCTAACTATGTCCTGCACCACACGTACGTAAGAGCCTAACTATGTCCTGCACCACACGTACGTAAGAGCCTAACTATGTCCTGCACCACACGTACGTAAGAGCCTAACTATGTCCAGCACCACACGTACGTAAGAGCCTAACTATGTCCTGCACCACACGTACGTAAGAGCCTAACTATGTCCTGCACCACACGTACGTAAGAGCCTAACTATGTCCTGCACCACACGTACGTAAGAGCCTAACTATGTCCTGCACCACACGTACGTAAGAGCCTAACTATGTCCTGCACCACACGTACGTAAGAGCCTAACTATGTCCTGCACCACATGTATGTAAGAGCCTAACTATGTCCTGCACCACACGTACGTAAGAGCCTAACCACGTCCAGCACCACACGTACGTAAGAGCCTAACTATGTCCTGCACCACACGTACGTAAGAGCCTAACTATGTCCTGCACCACACGTACGTAAGAGCCTAACTATGTCCAGCACCACACGTACGTAAGAGCCTAACTATGTCCTGCACCACACGTATGTAAGAGCCTAACTATGTCCTGCACCACACGTACGTAAGAGCCTAACTATGTCCAGCACCACACGTACGTAAGAGCCTAACTATGTCCAGCACCACACGTACGTAAGAGCCTAACTATGTCCTGCACTACACGTACGTAAGAGCCTAACTATGTCCTGCACCACACGTACGTAAGAGCCTTACCACGTCCAGCACCACACGTACGTAAGAGCCTAACTATGTCCTGCACCACACGTACGTAAGAGCCTAACTATGTCCTGCACCACACAAACGTAAGAGCCTAACTATGTCCTGCACCACACGTACGTAAGAGCCTAACTATGTCCTGCACTACACGTACGTAAGAGCCTAACTATGTCCTGCACCACACGTACGTAAGAGCCTAACTATGTCCTGCACCACACGTAGGTAAGAGCCTAACTATGTCCTGCACCACACGTACGTAAGAGCCTAACTATGTCCTGCACTACACGTACGTAAGAGCCTAACTATGTCCTGCACCACACGTACGTAAGAGCCTAACTATGTCCTGCACCACACGTACGTAAGAGCCTAACTATGTCCTGCACCACACGTACGTAAGAGCCTAACTATGTCCTGCACCACACGTACGTAAGAGCCTAACTATGTCCTGCACCACACGTACGTAAGAGCCTAACCACGTCCAGCACCACACGTACGTAAGAGCCTAACTATGTCCTGCACCACACGTACGTAAGAGCCTAACTATGTCCTGCACTACACGTACGTAAGAGCCTAACTATGTCCTGCACCACACGTACGTAAGAGCCTAACTATGTCCTGCACCACACGTATGTAAGAGCCTAACTATGTCCTGCACCACACGTACGTAAGAGCCTAACTATGTCCTGCACCACACGTACGTAAGAGCCTAACTATGTCCAGCACCACACGTACGTAAGAGCCTAACTATGTCCTGCACTACACGTACGTAAGAGCCTAACTATGTCCTGCACCACACGTATGTAAGAGCCTAACTATGTCCTGCACCACACGTACGTAAGAGCCTAACTATGTCCTGCACCACACGTATGTAAGAGCCTAACTATGTCCTGCACCACACGTACGTAAGAGCCTAACTATGTCCTGCACCACACCTTTGAACAGACTGGTGAAACAAAGTAGTGTCATGAACGCTGTTGGGGAAGTTACTTTTAAGTAGAAACTTTTCTCTTTTACTCTCTAAAGAAAGTAACTTCTTTACTTTACTTTTGTGTTACTGTTATTATGCTCGACTTTGAGCAGAACTATTCTTAAATGTGTTGTGGAAGTTCTACTATGAAGATCAACAGATATTTCTTTCATGCTGTTTATGATCAAAAACACCACAGAGCAAGTACACATAGTGGGTTGTTGTATTTCATGAACGCAGCTCTCACTCGGAGGAATGGGTTTAAGATCTCTGACTCTGAGCCTCAGCGTCTTCCTCCTCATCAAAAGACAAAAACGTCAGCCTCACTGGTAATGCTGTAGCCTGGGCTTATCCATCTGTACACTGCGCTTAATCATCATGTCCTGCATGTAACGTCTGGGTCTGGTCCCTGTGTTAGCGATTACAATCTGTTGAATTCCATCCGACCAATCAGAGAGCGCGGGAGGCGGGTGTTGTAGTTAGTTGTGGGTGACGTCAAGAGTTTGCGTCGAACGGGAAGGTTGTAGTTTGGCAATGGCGATAGTAAAGTAATCCGTTACTATATTGTCAATAGTTAACGTGTTACTTTAATATGAAAAAGTAGTTTGTTAGTCTAACACCCAACGCTGGTAATGAAGTAGTTCAGCTGCATGTGTGGATAACGGGTGTTTTTGTGTTTTGACAGGAGGAGAGAAAGGCAAGGTAAGATTTATGTTCTGTTCCCATAAATATAAGTTATCTTTCATTCACTCGTCACTCACACACTCACAGTTCAGAGGTTTTTATATTCTCTTACACCTGAGACTCCACAGCTCCTCCTGGCTCCTCTGACCTCACTTCACTTTGTTCAACCATTTATTTCTCTAATCTGTGGTTTTGGCTCGAGGGTGATAATGGACGACACCTCACGGTCCATTATTAGATACTGTGCCTTTAGAAAGTACTCTTGCACCTTGACATTTGGCACATTTTGTCATGTTTTATAATCAATTTGACCAAAATTTCACACATACAGTAAGTAACAGGAAGGAGACACCCCAGTTCAGCTTCAGACTGGATCCAGATTGTTTTCAGTCACAGTCCAGACCCGGTCCAGACAATGAGTTCACCATTGCCCTGTTTTAGAGCTCTCCGATGCTCGCAGGGCAGTCACACAGATTTCAACCATGAATTCTTCTGCAGACGGAAAGAGGCCAGACGCAGAATGACATCATTGATCACGTTCTGTCCTCTTGAATCTAGATGTTTTGCTCCTAACAAAGATAGCAGGGAAAGGCATCACTGCATGTGCCCGGTCTGTGTGCAGTTTGGGAACGAGGCGCAGCAGCTGGAGTGGGCCAAGCGGGAGAGCGAGCGAGCAGAGAAGGAGCGGCTCAAGCGGCTCCGGCAGCAGGAGCAGGAGGACCTAGAGCTGGCCATCGCCTTGAGCAAAGCCGAGATGTCCAATGCCTGAGACAATAATGGAGACACTAGCGACTCTGGCGGAGAGCAGAGGCGTGCCCTGCCCTTGCCCTGCACCAGGACAAGGACTCAAGGACAAGGGGGGCTCAGGCCTGGAACTGCTGCTCCACGGTGGGATAGGGACTTCACACTGTAACAACAGGATCAATATAATACTTGAATTCAGTCATTTAGGGATGCGTCGATACAGACACTGGTATTGTTGGAACCCATGCCGTAGTAAATGTGGCCATGTTGAAATGGGAGACAGCAAACATAATAACTCTGGTGCGCTGATATTCGCCTGTTGAGGAAAAACACACTGAGAATGTAAGAACATACATGATTTATTTCAAATAACAAACAATATGACTGAAAACTGCTTTTGAGTGAGCATGGATACTGTGTTAGTATCCTGTCATTTCAGTCTGTGAGGGGAACTATCACACTCACAATTGTGCTTATTTTGGGATTTACTCTCTCTGGAAGGTTTAGAAATGAACTTGTAATTGTTTGAAGCTTTGGCCAAAAAACATCCATTCAAACTTCTCGTACAAACACGTGTTATGTGGGAGAAATAGGTCATTTTGCCAGAATCATTGTCAGTGTGTGTCCTTCATGGAGCATTCTACAGTCATCACAGCAGAGTTATAATCAGTGTGGGCGTCTCATGTGTGATCAGCAAAAGGGACTTTTCCAAAGTCATTCACACACTCAGGTGTGCGTGCACGTTTGAGTCATTTATCTCGCTCCTCCCCCAGGCCCCTCCCCCTGGCCCCTCCCCCTGGCTCCTCCCCCAGGCCCCTCCCCCAGGCTCCTCTGACCACCTCAACACACTCACAGCTTTTACATAATTTGTTCGAAACTTTTCTTTTCTGAATCTGCTGAAATGTAAATGCTGAGGATTTACAGGGCCTCTTGGTCTTAGTGGAGCCCGCGAAGTCCAGTGTGGTCTGAGCAGAGCCTGCAGGGCCTGTGTGGCCGAACAAAAAGTAACCTTTTGAACAAATCAGAGCACATTATGCTGTCTTATTAGAAAACATGGTATATTTTGCATACTTATAAGAAAGAGTCCTGAGAGCCGTGATGTAACTCTTCGGGCTGAACACTTTCACTTTTCTGTCTGAAGCTGATCTAAAGATATGACAGAGGCCAAAATGAATGTGAAAACTGTTTGAGCCACGAACGAACTAGTGACATGGATTTCATCACAGTTAGATACCCCAGTACCCTTTTTCACTGCGGTGTATAAAGACTGTACTGTAAGTGTTTCATCCTGACTGCTGAGCCGCGTTTCCACCGCAGGAACTTGGGGGTTGTTTTCCAGGACCAGCCCCGTCGGTGTCTCCACTGCAGGAACTTTCCCCACAGGGCCCTTTACAGGAACTTTTATGGGGCCCAACAAAGTCCCTCCTCCATGCTCGGTACTCTACGTTGGGCCTTGAGGTTAACCCGGCGCTGATTGGCTAAAGCTAGCACAGGCTCTGACGCCAGCAGAAAGCACCAAAACAACAGACATTCAGCAGCATTAGCCTAGCAGCATTAGCCCAGCGGCATTAGCCTAGCAGCATTAGCCTAGCAGACACCACTGGAAACACAGAACAGCACGGCTAGATTCAGACGGAGTTTGAGGCACCGCACCAAAATGACAATAACGAGATATATTTAGACACATCAGCTTTACCTCGAAGCACTGGGGATTCAAATTGGGTTGCCGCATGGATTTATAATAATAACAGGTTTGGCGTAATGAGTTTCACTTATGTGGAAATCGAAACTCATGATGTCGCCGAGTGGTCCTACTGCAGCGGAGACACGGACATGAGAGGACGGTTCTTGTAAAAGTTCCACCTCGCTCCTTTTACCAGGAACTCCTGGGGTGGAAACGCGAGTATGCTAGCCATGAAGAATGAATTCACAACCTGAGGAGTCAGAAAATTAAGTATTAAAGTAACGTATAGAAAGTGGTATGAAACTTGTGTGTGGGAGCCAGGGGAGCCATGGCGTCTTTGTGTCGGAGAATATAAATGACTGAAACATGCACTGGTCTGTGTGTGACAGTACGTCCCCTTTAATGACTCATTATCTTTGACTTGACAGAAACATTATTTGTTTTTCTGTCTCAGTCCCCGGCCAGAAAGGTGAAGTCTGCTGTAATCCAAGCATTTTAAACTCTCAAAGGGGGTCTTCTTTATTGCCTAATCCTGTAAACCGGAGGAAACAGCGCCTCCCAGTGTTAGAGGAAAGTACTCCTTGATCTCCTGACATATGTACAACATGTATTATCATGAATACCGAAGAAACGAACTGTGTGAGTCCAAGCACAAGCTGCTGAGGCGACAGGACTCTGTAGAGGGCGCTCACATCTTCACCCAGAATAACCTCTATTTATTTGATTTTTTTGTGGTAAATGTGCTTCATTTTAATGTGATTTTGCTCTGACATTGTTATTACCACTAGTTGTTTACATATTTAGTTTTGAAATGACAAATGAACTGAAGGGAAGCGTTTCTGTGTCATAGAAGTGGGCAATGTTGTGATGAGGGTGAAACCGTCAGTCTCGGGAGCAGATCTGGACTGCGTGGAAACCCTTGAAAACCGCAGAGAAGTAGAAAAATGAGGGACTGCGTTAACTGAAGACTGTAATTACAACATGGGATTCTTAACGTTGGGATGGGATTCTTACAACATGGGATTCTTAAATTCCAACTCCACCACTGCAACATTTGGAGCCCTGTGTAAAGTCAGTTTGTTAGTTTCATGATGAAGGTCCTCCGTGAGCTTCCGGCTGCTGTATCCGTGTTGCCCACTGCTCCTGTGTCTGACATTAGATATTTTCAGTGTTTGATTTGCTTTGTTTTGCACACAGTCCTGTGAAGGCTCCTGGGGGCCACGGAGCACCTCCCGGGAGCCTGTCTCCCAAACAGCACCAGGCGTTTAGGAAATACTAACAAAGAAACTGTTATCAATGGAGATGTTTCAGAGTCTGGTAATCACTCAGCCATCTCCTTATTTAACACTCATTCATGTAGAAAAAGCTGCAGAATAAGAGATTTAACTTTAGCGGTGACGAGGGGGAACACTTACTGTTTTAACAATCTGGTTCCTATGACAACAATCAAAACAACATGCAGCCAAGAGACTTTCAACGGGACGTCAGTGAACCATGACCTCGGCTCGTTTACAAACCATTATATGGACATTTATTTTCATTAAATTATTTTGTTTGACGTCAATGGCATAATGTGAACCCTTTGGTGCAGAACAGTGGCCACTCGGGGGGGCAGGGGGGCGGGGGCGGGGGGGGCGGGGGCAGTATTAGAGTGGTACTGACTTCTTACCTCAGTCGTGCAATAGACCTTTTTATGCTTTTTCATTTTAGCTTCATGTCTGTGTTGTACTGTAGCGTATTTATAACCCTTTTGAATGTTATATTTTTTGTTTTCCTCTCATTCCTCTGGGAGAAAATGTGATCACGACTTCACACAGACGTGATGTTTGGGCCCAGAAAGGAAAACGTGTCAGAGGCGTGACGGAATAAAAGACTCGCCAAACTCTGTGTCCGTGTCGAGTGCTTCTTCAAACTCCCAAACTCTACACCCATGTGCTTATGTTCATGTGACATCACCCATGTGCTTATGTTCATGTGACATCACCCATGTGCTTATGTTCATGTGACATCACCCATGTGCTTATGTTCATGTGACATCACCCATGTGCTTATGTTCATGTGACATCACCCATGTGCTTATGTTCATGTGACATCACCCATGTGCTTATGTTCATGTGACATCACCCATGTGCTTATGTTCATGTGACATCACCCATGTGCTTATGTTCATGTGACATCACCAAAGAGCCCATAGCTTCACACTGTGGTGGAGAGCAGCTGAAACATCTCTCCTGGTGTTCAAAACTCAGATTCTAGTCTAGAATCTGAATGTTGAACACCAGGAGAGATGAATGTAAAAACACCAGATTATAAGTGTTTGATATTTTGAATAGATGTGTTTCCCAATGATGACACAGGATTCAATTTATGAACAAAGTGTGTTATGTCTGACAGTGTGTAGTGAGCAGGAAAGTGTGTTGCAGAAATTAAAGTTCCAAGCAGTACTTTTGTTTAAGGAATGGTTAGACTGTGTTTTAGGTTTAGTGCAAAAGCTTCAGGTTCTGTAACTTTGCTCTGATGTGTTCAAGCAAGATGAACAAACTGAGGCCTGTGCAGGAACACAGGCTTTTATGTTGTAGCAAAAGTTTGTGACCATTAAGTCCTGGTATGATTTTGTCCTCATAGTTTCATGTTGACAAATGGTTTTATAGAGTTTGAGACAGATGTGAAAGGTTTAAGTCCCTGTGTTGTGGTTCTCTTGTTTGCAGAGTTTTGGGACAATGACTGAAATTTTGTAAAATGTGTTCAAGCAAAAGGAAAAAACTAATCAAAGATCCACAATAACCTGTAAACATTTATGAGACAAGCATTTTTGAATTAGATAAAGTTCTCAAAACTTCATTGTTCATATTTTGTAAAGATACTGCAATGATTATAACAAAAATTTTCATTGCTTTTAGGATTTACACTTGTCAGTAATTAACTAGTTATACAAAAGCTTACATGGGAAAAGATTATTGATCTGATTCCAATTCTATTACAGCCGCACTGACAACTGCACCCGCACATTTAACCTTAGACAATGTTTCTCCAGCTACATTGATTGGTAAGTAAGTAAGTAAGTAAGTAAGCTTTATTTATATACCGCCTTTCACAGACCAGAGTCACAAAGCGGTTTACAATTGTTATTTTTGGGCACTTGTCTCTCACTCCACACAGAGATGGGAGCGGGGCCAGTACAGGAGGCCCATGCCAGACCTATTGTACATATTTTTTAGTGGTAGGGGAAACCGGAGTACCCGGAGGAAACCTACGCAGACACGGGGAGAACATGCAAACTCCACTCAGTAAGGCCCTGGTCCGGCCGGGATTCGAACCCAGGACCTTCTTGCTGAGAGGCGAGAGTGCTATCCACTCAGCCACCGTGCCGGTAATATTTTCATTGACGATTATATTATTCCAGTGACAGTAATATTTTTCAGGGCCAAGTCCTTCCTACACTTCTTAGCATCATTTTTGACCCGTACAGTGTTTGGCGATGAATCCTTTTCATACTGTTCCTTAAACTTAAAGGTATACAGGAGGATTTTCTACTTCCGGGTGGATCATCAAGACTATTGGTCCTCCCAACTGTCAATCATTCTGGTGATACTCGTCAAATAAGACCAGAGAGTTTTGTTCAAAAAGTGGAGCGGGCGGTTCTTTCCTAAGTCTATGGAAAACTCTCCTGAGCACCTTTAATATCCAGTATTGGTGGATATTACTTGTTCTGGTGGAGCACGGCTTCTGAGTCAGTAAAAAGGAAAGGACCGTCGACGATGATGGTATTTGGATCTAAGTCTCTGATGCGACAGAATCCACTTACCTCAGACATAACTATGATCCTTTTCCCAGCTTTTCTCTCATCCTCTCAAACACAGAATAAATACTTTAACATGTATAAATGACACAAAAATGAAGATTCCAAATGTTTATTGTGGTGTGCACAGTAAGAAACAAGTCTCTGTACAGTTCAGCCGTTCTCTGCTGCCCACACTCAAAGACAAACACAAATCTAAGGCATAATCCAGACCAGAATAAATGAGATCTATAAATAAACATTATTCTGAGGAGACAGTTGTTCAGGAGGCGTGGCCTGTCGCTCAGCCTCAAGAGCTGATCCACTGGATATTATCATTTTGAGCACTTGGAACATTCATTTAATTTAAGACAATCCAACTTTAAAACAAGAGATTTAGAAAACAAATAATTAACGTTAAAAAAGATTTTAAATACATAATATTAAATGTGAAGTAAGAATCAATAGTTGCGTTTGATTTTTCTTTTTACCGCTTCACATGAACAGTCTCAGATCTGCCTATGTCATGTTTGGGCCTGGACCTGGTTTCTCACCCAGTGGAACCATGTGAGCTGGTCTCTCACCCAGTGGAACCATGTGAGCTGGTCTCTCACCCAGTGGAACCATGTGAGCTGGTCTCTCACCCAGTGGAACCATGTGAGCTGGTCTTTCTCCCAGTGGAACCATGTGACCTGGTCTCTCACCCAGTGGAACCATGTGACCTGGTCTCTCTCCCAGTGGAACCATGTGAGCTGGTCTCTCACCCAGTCAGCAACCATGTGACCTGGTCTCTCACCCAGTCAGCAACCATGTGACCTGGTCTCTCACCCAGTGGAACCATGTGAGCTGGTCTCTCACCCAGTGGAACCATGTGAGCTGGTCTCTCACCCAGTGGAACCATGTGACCTTCTCTCACCCAGTGGAACCATGTGACCTGGTCTCTCACCCAGTGGAACCATGTGACCTGGTCTCTCACCCAGTGGAACCATGTGACCTTCTCTCACCCAGTGGAACCATGTGACCTTCTCTCACCCAGTGGAACCATGTGACCTGGTCTCTCACCCAGTGGAACCATGTGACCTGGTCTCTCTCCCAGTGGAACCATGTGACCTGGACTCTCACCCAGTGGAACCATGTGACCTGGTCTCTCACCCAGTGGAACCATGTGACCTGGTCTCTCTCCCAGTGGAACCATGTGACCTGGACTCTCTCCCAGTGGAACCATGTGACCTGGTCTCTTTCCCAGTGGAACCATGTGAGCTGAGGAACGGAGCTCATGAAGAGTGGAACCATCACAGGGATTTCACTAAATCTTATGGCGTCCTGGACTTTGGCGTAACAGACTGAGTCAGAGCTGGACTCTTCTACAGCCTACAGAGTCCTAGACCTCTGCAGCCTACAGAGTCCTAGACCTCTGCAGCCTACAGAGTCCTAGACCTCTGCAGCCTACAGAGTCCGTCTCGCATGCAGTGAATCTGCTTCACTGTGGTTCTCACTGTGGTTTTCCCTGAGGTTCTGAGGTTCCCAGTGGGTTTTCTGGAGTTTTCAGCCTGAAGAAGGATGCTCCGGGACATTATCCAGTTTGGGATTGGGTTCGTTAAGTTATACTTGAAGAATACTTGAGGAATGAACAAATGTGTTTGTCTTTATGGAACAGTAAGACAACTTCTGTTTTGATTTTGGGCTGCACAAACACATTCATTTGATTAACTGTTGGTTGTCAAAACATTTTACTCAAGCAATTTCTCCTGATATATTCTTGAAAAAATACAATAAAAATAATGAATTCTCCTGACTGCGTGCTATCCATTTGGCCTGGGTTACCATGGCGATCAGCTCTTGCGTTGGCCGGAGTGACCTCCTGATCACACACCTTCACATAACACTCGCTCCAGTGAAAAAACACACACATTGGGACCTTTTTTTTAACGTTACACTTGTTAGATGTGTGAAAAGGTGTGTTCAGCCACTACCTTCGATGATTGCACATATCACAAAGAGTACAACTGAGAATCTCCTTCAAGAACTGACAGCTAGAACAATAAACTTGATCTCATTCATGTTTATGTCAGTTGCATAACGTAGATTTGATACTCATTTATCACACTAACTCCACAGCGACAGGGTTCATGCGTCCGCGGCCGAGCTGGACACATCTGGACAGTTCAAAACAATGGCAGTTGTCGACATCAGCTTCGTACAAAAATGGAAAAATCGAGTGAGGCCTAAAATGACTTGAAATCAGAATTTAGCCTTTTTATTCATGAAAGAACAGGTGCTTCTGCCTGCAATAAAGTGAGACTCAATACCCCTGTGGATCTTTACTCATGGAGCACATTTGGAATCTCAATATTGGGCCAAAAATGATGAGTCAGCGCATTTCTGAATTCAGCTCTGCAGTTTTGCTCTGGACTCTACCCCTGAACGCCACGTCACTGTGAATATTAGAGCTGTAATCGATCAATCATTTGTTCGGATCATTTCTTTCTACATTAGACCAAAACCTGTGGCAGAGGCCTTTGCAACTGGGAGCTAAGAATGTCTATAACTATAACATGTATTTCTGTGACAGTCATACACATTGTTTCGTGTGAATATGGCCGATTTCTCAAAACAAGCTCAACACATTCAGAGTGTAGCCATAGACTGTACATCTGCCCATAGGGTCCCGACCTCTGCCCATAGGTTCCCGACCTCTGCCCCATGGGAACATCTTCATTAGAGATGAATACATTTTAATTCTGCAGTAATTGTCGTAAAACCTCTTCTCAGCATGTTTAAGTCTACTTAAGTATGTATCCAAAACTAAATTAGTTGACAACTTTCATATAAATCGATTAACTTAACAGCCCGAGTAAATACAGTGCTTCTCGAATGTATTAATACATCTTGAACTTTTGGTCAGATTCACAAACAAATAACAGACAACTGTGAAGTAAACTGACACGATTCAGTTTTATTTACAAATAGAAAAGTAAAAAGAAATCCCTGCACAAGTGTGGAGCACAACAGAGGTCACGGATACAGTCGTGGGCAAGATTAAAGGTGCCATACGACGCTTTTTGACTTTTCTCTGGTTTAAACATGATCACAGCTATTTGCCCAGAGTCGTTTTGTCGTTGACTTCCTCAAGCTTTAGTTAGAGAGCGATCTTTCTCTTTCATTCTCGAGAGGCACAGAAACGAGCTGATTCAAATCGTGACGTCAAAAGCCCGCCTCCAAGAAGTGATTGACAGCGAGGAGAAACTGAACCAGCGAATCAGTGCCGTCTACGGTCAGCCGCAGCCTGTCACAGCGTGTGGTCCATAGACAGTGAATATACGTCTGTGCTTTCTGTGTTAGCTTCATGAGACTTGGAGAAAATGTGTTTTTGGGTGTAAATATTTGACGAGAGTATTTGAGGATCTGCTTCAAATCTGCAACGAAACTCGCAGATGTTTTTCTACGAGTGACGGTGATTTCAGCAAAGACTGTTCCAGAACTACGGTTACCTTGAAACGGGACCTACTCAGAGCTGATCTGGAAACCTGGTGTTATTCCAGTATAAAAGAGGCTAACAGGAGCCTCGGTGAGTGCAGTGATGCTAACTCTCTGTGTCGCTGTGAACTAAATAATTAGGTCTGATTCTGGATCGAGGACATAGGGCTCTCTGTGACGGAGCCATTGTTGGGGAAATGTTTTTCTCAGGTTTGAAATGACAAACAGCGAAAGATGAACAGTTAACTTTTGTTTACCTCAAAGTTAGCAATAGGCTCGGACAGCGCCCGGGCGGCGGGAGGCGGGCTCACAGAGGCACCTGACATTATCATCACACATGTGCATAGGATGGACTGGGAAAACAAAACATGTCACCTTTAAAGCAGTGTTGGGTTATACCAAGATGTTCAGTCCAGTATGTTGAAGGAAAAGTCAGCAGAAGAATATTCATGTGTTAGTATGAGTCAAAGTGCAAACGGAAACCTGTGGAAAGACCTGAATACTGTTCGCTCCCTCCTTTGACAGAGCTTTAGTTGTTTTGTAAAGAGGAATGAGACTTTATCAGTCTCTAGATGTGCAAATCTAGTCATACCCAGTAGCAGCAAAAAAGTTATTGACTCATGCTACTTTTTTAAATGTATTTCTTGAATAAAAAGAGCCATGTATTGTTCTGCTTTTACTTCACAGTTGTCCGTTACTTGTGTGCGAACTTTCAGTAAAAAAAAAAATCCAAATAATATCTTAAAATGTGCAAAAGTTCAAGGTGTATAAATACTTTCGAGAGACACTGTATGTAAGCCCCGCTCAGAGTCGGAAAAAGAGTTGCATAAAAAAGTAAACAACGAGAAGATTAAAACAATCCCTGATGTTTTTCATGAACTCACCAAGAACAAAACCCTGAGTCCAAGTCACTTTAATCTTTTCCAGAGACATTTTTTGCAGTGTAAATGTGACATTAAAAACACAGTCCTTTAGCACAAGTGGACTTCTGGACGCCTGAAGACAAAGTTCCACCACAGACAAGTCGGTTTTACACACATCACAATAGAAAAATGGATCCCGGTGCGAAGGCTCGTCCGAGTAGAGTCCGAGTAGAGTCCGAGTAGAGTCCGAGTAGAGTCCGAGTAGAGTCCGAGTAGAGTCCGAGAGAAGGCAGGAGTGCGCGTGAGGCCGGTAAAGGGTTTTCTCCTGACCGCACATCCCCCGCGTGCGAACACCAGAAGCACATTGGACCGTACGACTCGGGCACGCCTCATTCATGCCTTTGTACATGTGCCGTCAAAACACACGCCACGATACGCATCTCCACAAGGCATAACGAACAAGAAGCAAATAAATAACAATAAATTAAGGAGTGTAAAAACAAGACGTTCAAAAAAGGTGATGAGTGGCCCCAACGCACCCCTTCACACCGCATGTAGGGGTGTCCAGGGGCCCCTACACACTGCATGTAGGGGTGTCCAGGGGCCCCTACACACTGCATGAAGGGGTGTCCAGGGGCCCCTACACACTGCATGAAGGCGTGTCCAGGGGCCCCTACACACTGCATGAAGGCGTGTCCAGGGGCCCCTACACACTGCATGAAGGCGTGTCCAGGGGCCCCTACACACTGCATGAAGGCGTGTCCAGGGGCCCCTACACACTGCATGAAGGCGTGTCCAGGGGCCCCTACACACTGCATGAAGGCGTGTCCAGGGGCCCTACACTCCACAGATCAGGGCCCTTCCAGGAGGCGAAATGGAGCACAACTATAAATGATGAACTGACCTCAGATCTGAATCATAGGAAGGCTTTAAAACAAACGGCCGAGTCCAGGACAGAAGTGTCAGTCTGAGAAAAGTCTGTTCCAGTGCTCATCATCCTACAGTGTAACCAAGAAACTCAAGTATAAGTGTTTTAAACATGTCCCAACTGAGAGTTTGCAAAAGCACACACCTGACTGATCCCAGAGGAGGCCGTTTCCATGGCAATGATCCATGTCCCAGGGCAGTACCCCAGGGCAGTACCCCGTTTGGGAGAGCATGTGTCTGAAGGTCTCTGCTTCACACTTCATCACATCTGGAGCTCACTTAGAGCCACTGCTGTTGTGCCCTAGGACAAGGCACTTCTATGGGTGAGTGGTTTGTTGTGAGAAGTATAAAAACACTACATCAATACATTATGGCAAACAATGTGGTCCTGGGTTTAATGGTCCTGTCCTGTCCTCCGAGCAAGTACAACAGGTGGAGAGATAAAGGTCAATAAAACATGGGACCTTTTCATGGGACCACCTGAAGTTACAATGTGCTTCCAACATGGGGAAGTTTAATGCCTTTCTGTGGAAGATTATAGCCACAGAACATGAGCAGGAGTCAGCACAGTCAGGTGTGTGGAAATGCAAGCCCATATGAAGTAAGGATACATGCCTTTAGACTGTTTCTAGTGCAACAAAAACATCCAAAATGGCTAAAAGTTAAATACAAGCTTTGATAGAACTTTCATTTGCCAAACACTGAGGTTCTTTATATTGACATTCTGAGGTCATGGTCACTTTCTTTATTGAAGTGACATGTCCCACTTCACTTGGCCTCCCATCTCCCTAACACATGTACGTTTAATGCCTTTGAATGGGCCAAAGGTGAGCAGGCCCAGCTCTGAGGTCCTGCTGGCAGTGAACAGTGTGTGTGTCTGTGTGTGTGTGTGTCTGTGTGTGTGTCTCTGTGTGTGTGTGTGTGACAGTTGCAGGAGGGCCTTACAAACGAGTGTTCATTCCAGCAGACGGCGGCCTAGTTCGTGTGCAGAGGGAGCAGCCATGAACGCCAGCGGGTTGCGGTCACGTCCTGCGCCCCTAAGAAGCCCCTAAGAAGCCCCTAAGAAGCACATGGGGGCGGGGTTTGGGGGGTGGTGTGGGGCAGGAGTGTGAGGACTGCGACAGGTCCAGGCTGAGGGAGGAAGCAGAGGGAACAAGGACAGCAGAGGAGCCACCGGAACCAGGAAAATCAAGCAAATACCATAAACGTTTTTGTCCTTTATATTCATAGTGGGGACCCTATCCTTAGAAAGGGCTTTGTGGTCATTGTTTTGTAGAGGAATAAGAACTAGCTAAGATTTGTAGCACAAACAACTATACTAAATATAATATTATGTGACAATACTTTGAGAAGGTAAATTGCACAATTGCCACATTGGAATGATAAATACTGCCACGTATTGAAGAGTTTTGAGAACAGCGTCCTCTGCGTCACGTTAGTGCCCTTCACAAACACCACTGCTCTGTTCATAGAATTAAAACAATGACCAAATGCACCACTGAAGTCATAAAGGGATTCTCCAGTTATAGTGTTGGTAATTTCAATCTGATGGGTTCATGGTATGGCACTGGTCACATCGCCATAGCAACAAAGCCATTTCAATTGCAACAGAATGTGTTTGGAACGGGAGCATGTGTCCTGAACATGTGAATAGAAAGGATCAGGGGGCATGGGGGCATGGGGGCATGGGGGCATGGGGGCTATAGAATGCCGTCCATAAAGCTGGTGTCCAGGCGCTGGATGAGCAGGCGGATGAAAGACATCTCTTTGCGTGTGTTCTCAAAGATGATGCGGGGGTCGTCAGACTGACAGCGCAGACAGTTGGGGGCCATGACCATAGCCAGGTTGTTCACATCCATCTTGGTGATGGAGACGTTAGGCGGCTGCACAAACACCTGCCACACACACATACAGACACACACACACACAAACAGACACACATACAGACACACACACACACAAACACAAACAGACACACACACACACACACAGACCATTATCATCACTGACACAGACCTTTCTAGGGAAAAAGTATACATTCTGAGCGCTGAGGAGGCGCGTCCTCAGAAAGCGCAGAGACAGGGCAGGAAATATTCTTTCCTGGTCAAATAAGAACTTTGGAACAAAATGCTGCTAGGCTAATGCTGCTAGGCTAATGCTGCTTGTCACTCCCGGATTCGTCCGGAAGTTCAGTTTGCGTATGTCAAGTCCTTAAGTGGTGACTGGTTAAGTTTAGGCGTTTGATTAAGATGGTTAAGTTTAGGGTTAAGGCTGGGTTGGGGTTATTTTATGGGAATGACTGGTAAAGTTTAGGCATGAATAGGCAGTTTTTTATATTTACTTCCGCTTCCGTCCAGATTCTGTGACGTAATCTACTGCTGCGTATGCTCATTGGATCAAACTGAACTTCCGGACGAATCCGGTTTCCGGGACGAATACGGGAGTGACACTGCTGAATGTCTGTTGTTTTGGTGCTTTCTGCTGGCGTCACAGCCTGTGCTAGCTTTAGCCAATCAGCACCAGGTTAACCCCAAGGCCCAACGTAGAGTACCGAGCATGGAGGAGGGACTTTGTTGGGCCCCGTAAAAGTTCCTGTAAATGTCCGTGTGGGGAAAGTTCCTACAGTGGAGACACCGACGGGGCTGGTCCTGAAATTACTCCCAATTACTGGAAACGTTAAAGGCTAAAGACTACTTTGGGTTAGCAAGACAGAGGGCCACATATAATGACACAGGGCGGCAATTGGCCCCCGAGTTTGGACATGTGTGGTTTAAGAGCTTTGTAAATGACACCCCAGGCTCTATTGTCAATACAAGAGAATAAGTCAAATAAATGTGTATCATGAGCCCAACTATTCCCTAAAAATACAATGCACTCAGTAGAGTGAGATTAGAGGGTTCCAGGCTGAGTGGGGAAAGCGTTACCTGGAGGAAGCGGATGAGGTAGCACAGCACCAGCTTGTTGATGTGAGGCAGGCCCAGCACCACGGTGACGGCGGCCTCTGGGTTGTCATAGTGATGGATGCACTCATCATAGAACTCGTGAGGGATGAGCGGCTCCTCCAGCTCTCGATACCACAGCTTTAGCAGAGACGCTACAAAAGCACCGCCCAAAACAAGGCACATGTTATTTAAGTAATTTCACCAACACAATAATATGGTCATGTGGGACTCAGAACGTGTGCCAAGTGGCCATCTTTTAGAACATAGACAAACGTGACAAATTGTTGGTAGAAGTGGATGTCATGGACAGGGCTGTTTTCTGATGTATCATTGGTGTAACAAGTTTGAAAGCAGAGCATTTATATAAGAAGGGGCGGGGGAGTTGAACACAGGGATAAGTGCTACTTATGCAAATGTGCCTTAAAGGAGAACAGCACTGGATTAAAGGTAAAGGGAGGGTGGTGTTTACACGGAGACGCTGCAACAGTAAAGTACGGAAGAGTTGACAGAACAGATATGCTGCACAGCGGTGGGGGGTTTGACAGCGTGAAGAAAAACGTGAGAAATCTCTGCCTGCTATGACCTCGTACATTTGGAGACGTGCATGAGCCGAGAACAAACGTAAACAACAAGGGCTGCTGATCATCTAATGATACGAGTGCTTCGAGCAATAAACAGGAGAATTCTACTCCTTCGTCCGTCTCCAAACGTAACCACGCAATGCTCTAGTCTCAGTTTCCATTTTGGCAGCTACTGTTAAATGCAGAATAATGTTGGTGCATTCTTTCATGTCTTTGTGGTGGCCCGGTGAGGTCTTTGTTGAGGAAGTGGTTATTCTGCTGTAATGTTCCACTGCCCACTACTGACCGGGCGCTAGAATTAAACTTGTTTTTTGTCGTGGTGTAGACACTGTGCAGTTCGAAAAAGGAGCCTGGTCGTTTTTGCTAATATCTTTGCAGCGTCTCAGTATAAACGGGGCCTTAGCGTGAGCTGTGAGACACTTAACAGTACCTGGATATGCGGGTCCTCCAGGACTGAGCTTGTCTGAAATGTAAGGGGGTTGAGGTGTGTACCTGGGATATGAGGGTCCTCCAGGCCTGTGGGGATCTTCCAATGGTCCACCTGCAGCTTCAGAGCATTAACCTCGTCGATGTCCCCAGGAACTCTGCACGCAGACACACGCAATCAATTATCAATATGCTAATTACTCTTACATGTACACACCGCACGCATCCTGTGAAGTGGAGACTGGCGAGGGGCTTATTTGAAATAAAAAAACGCTTCTTTCATAAATTCTTGCGTCTGACCACAGCAGCCAACAGAGACCATGAGAACAAACATGAAGTCCTCTGGCTCGTACTGTCCTCTCCATAGACTTCAGGGAGAGAATCAGCAGCTGTGTCCTTGTGCACTCAGCCGATGTGTACAGTCACATGAAAGTCACCTCTGCTAAGGAGAGTACGGGCCGTTATGTCTTCCAACCCAATAAAGTTTTACAGTTAGTATGAGCTCACATGGCATGTCAGACCTAATTTACAGGAAGACCGCGGCAATCCTCTGAACAAATCGTACAAGCCACAAATGTTTTCTTCTGACTTCAAATAAAAGGGAACTGTTGTTACTAGCGTTTGTATGTTGTTGTTGGAGTATACACATGGCAAATGAGAAGCAGGCCCACCACAATATGATGATATCATTTATAACTGCCCAGGTGGAAACATGTCAGACCCATCAAAGAACCAGGCACCTCCCTGTTAACATTCAGAGGTCTGATAGAATAAGGCTCTTAATGCAGTTGTGGCCAATGTATGATCAAGAAATATGATAAACCAAACCATAAAAAAAATAGATTTGAGTAATAACTTTGTGAATAAATATATACCATTAGTGAAAGGAGTAGTGGGGAACAGGAGGATATTTGCACTGACCTGAAGATACCCTCGGTCTGATCTCCATTCAGTCCCAGCACCTCCTCCGAGAGCCGGGTCTGCACCCATGGGAGTTGGTGATCCGGGTAACGCTCCTTCTGCAGAGCCATGACCTCCTCCAGAGAAGAGCCGAACATGGAAGGGCTGAAGATGGCATCCTGAGCGTGTCGGATCTCTTCCAGACAGGGCTTCTGCAAACCCTGAAACACCCAACACACTGTGAGTCCGTGGTTCCCAAAAGTGGGGGGCATGTCAGGGAGGTAGTCCCCATCTCTAATAACAAGCATGGTTATTACTAGTCACTCATATGGAGGGCTCTGCGGCCCTCTGCTGCCCTCTGCTGCCCTCTGCTGCGGCCCTCTGCTGCGGCCCTCTGCTGCGGCCCTCTGCTGCGGCCCTCTGCTGCGGCCCTCTGCTGCGGCCCTCTGCTGCGGCCCTCTGCTGCGGCCCTCTGCTGCCCTCTGCTGCGGCCCTCTGCTGCGGCCCTCTGCTGCGGCCCTCTGCTGCGGCCCTCTGCGGCCCTCTGCGGCCCTCTGCTGCGGCCCTCTGCTGCGGCCCTCTGCTGCGGCCCTCTGCTGCGGCCCTCTGCTGCGGCCCTCTGCTGCGGCCCTCTGCTGCGGCCCTCTGCTGCGGCCCTCTGCTGCGGCCCTCTGCTGCGGCCCTCTGCTGCGGCCCTCTGCTGCGGCCCTCTGCTGCGGCCCTCTGCTGCGGCCCTCTGCGGCCCTCTGCGGCCCTCTGCGGCCCTCTGTGGCCCTCTGTGGCCCTCTGTGGCCCTCTGTGGCCCTCAGAGGACCTTTGTATGACCCAGGCAGTAGAAGAGCCTCACCTTCTTAGCTCCAGTCAGGGCAGCCTTGGTTAGCTTTCTGTAGCAGTATTTGGCGTAGCTGCTGATGGCCACTCCTAATCAGGACAGGGACACAGAGCACACACAAGTGACACACTCAAAAATAAACATTTGACAAAAGTGCAATTTTAAAGAGGGGTAAAAATGTGTTACAGTTCACTGCTGTCTCACAAGTGTATTTCCTTGACCTTTATTTAACCAGAAAAATCTCTTTTCCAACTCAGCCTGGGGTTATTCATTACAATCCACAGTTGAACATTTGCTGTGAATGTCAATTATAATATTGATGGTTTTATTCATTACAGCTAGCTTTACTAGAACTGATTATGTTTTTTTTCCCACAAAAATGGTTATTGAAGCGTTCAAAGTTTGTAGTTTTGAAACTATTTGGGAAAATGTGCAAAATACAGAGTTTACCATCTACAGGCATTTTACACTTAATTAATGAGTGCACAGATTTGCTTCCAAAAGATTTGAAGTCCTTCACACTGGAACATACAATGATAGTGTCTGCAATGGATAGCACGACAAAAAGAACCGAGACGTCGCCCGGTTTGGTGCAGGCGGGTTTCTGAATATTTAAATACAACTGTGGTGAAGGGAAGCAATGGTATCTTTGGTTAAAGATGATAAATGACTCAACATGCATAAATTACTCTAGGATTCTGGACCAGGACTCTCTTGAAAAAGACATTCTTAATCTCAATGGGACTTTCCTGGTTAAATAAAGTTGAAATCAAAATAAATGACGAACAATAATTGTGTGAAGTGTAAAAAAGTGGACTGCTCTGTCCCCATAAACACGTCTCACCCTTGTTGTCGTTGAGTGGGTCCATGTGCCTCTGGATGTAGCCCTCAAGATAGTTGTGAAAGCGCGGCGTGGGGGGGAAGAAAGCCAGGCAGATGGCCATAAGCTCCCAGCCCCTCTCCAGGCTGTCGTAGCGGAAGTTCTCGGTGGTCTGGCGGCACAGCTGGATGTACAGCTCGTCCCGGAGCCCCTGGTTACTCCAGCCACGGACCACCACCTGAGAGAGGACACATGCATTTTGTTTACAGGACACCTTTGTGGTCAAAAGGGCGCACTTACAATACACTTTTCATTCAAATCCGAAGACGGTTGCCTGGTTCATGTCATCTTTAAAGAACAATAAAATCCTAAAATCGTAAACGCCTCAAAGTTCAGTAGAAGATCAACACAGCTATGGACAGCTACTGGCTGCTTGAAAACTTGCTTTCATCAGTGTCAGCCAACTTTAAAAATCCAAAGCAGCTAAACAGACCTGGTTCAGAAAAATGCACTCCCAGGCCTTGACATTAAGCTTTGTTAGCCACAAGTACTTTTTATATTTTAATTGCCCAAATATTTCTCAATACAATGAGTTAACAAGAGCAATAAAGTGGCACTAACTGTGTGGGGGGAAAAAAAATCCACTCTCAGCCCAAATAGTCAAATAATGACTCACAGGGCTCTTAAGTATGTAAAATAAGAAATAAAAACAAAATGGCCTATTGTGGTGCATTCTGTTTGATCTGTTTGATTTGTTCACAACATTTTATGTGCACAACCAACATGCTTTGTTAAAGAAGCTCTACCAGACTTCTTTCTAATGAGTTCATAAAAATGCTTATTACTACAGACAAGTTGTATTATAATCCGTAATTTACTGTAAAACTTGAGTTCATTGATTCAGCTGTGGATGAATTCAGCCGTAAAAAGTGCTGAGTAGAGACTTAGCGTGACGCCCGCTCTCCTCCAATCACAGAACGAGGCTGCGTCCTCTAGCCTCTACAGCGCTGCTACACACAGTAGCATGTTAGCATAAGTGGCTATAACTCCTCTGGCTGTAACTGCAGACACAGCAAAACAGCCCAAACCACACAACAGTGAGGAAGAGAAGAGGAACTAAAGCCACAACATGATCAAAGAAGAAACCAAGCCCTGAACAGAGCTAGCTTACATCGTATCCTCTGGAGAGACTGGTCTATGTTTGAAATACACATAATTCTGTTTTGTCATCTTGATTCAAAAACTCAAATGCATCCATGGTTTATGTTTGACTTTGTTGCCATGGCAATGACAAACACTCCCCATTTAATGTCAATGGCAAAATCAAAGAGACACACAATCACTAATAATAGGCAGCTCTCATTAGGGCCGTAGGAAGATGGCACGTCAGCGCCACCTCCTCTGCGCGGTGCGCCGAGGGCCGTTCGACGCTGCTTGCGGCTTTAATTTATGCTTGTCGTTGCCTGGAATAGTTTGGTTGAAATGTGTGGACAGTGTAGTTTGACTTTCCCACATTAATGCTCATAACCGGGTCAATAAATCGGCATCAATAAAACGCCCGTGTTGCACATTTAGCAATGTTTCCAATGCTCTCAGTGTGAAGACAGTAATCTGCACATACGCATCATGCTGTTCATGCTCCACATATTGTTTAAACACCGTTTGTTTCAGGGGGGGTTGTGGTTGGCTGCCGGTCCGTGACTTTATTGTCTGACATTGAAATGGTCCGTGGCAGAGGACAGTACTGCCAAGAGAACCAATATATACCAGCACAAGTTAGACGCATGCGCTTGTCCTCATGGTTCCTTCTAATGTGGTGCTGATTAAACCAAACACCTTTAACACAAACATAATCTTAAATTTAGATTTCCAAAGTGACCTGGATCACAGCAAATCTGTATAATCCAATTATCCATAAAAAAAAGAATTACTATTTATTTTAAGAGTTGCTTGGCCAAAAGGTATTATCTTTCGTCTTGTTCCCCCTTTTGTTTTTGTTTCACACACCTCCAAAGCCACACTGAGCGGCTCGGCCTTGCAGCGCCGGTCTCCCATGAAGGTCTGGATGAGTTTGAAGAGGTCCACAGCCTCCTTCTTCACACTACGGTCTGACGTCACAATCATGGGCTTCTTGATGGGCTCGCTGCTCCAGGCCAGCATGTTGGCTATGGACACTTTTCTTCGGAACAGCCCCTGAGCACAGAGCATGTGGACTTACAGGAACCTCAGGTCAAATCTAATACCCATTTGGAGATCTTTAAAAAAAAAAAACTCAGAACAGATCATTTTGCAAAATATAACATAGTTCTTTAATGTACAAGGGCTAGAATTTCAATATAACAACAGATAAACAGCATATAGAGAGGTATTCAGAGCATCACAACGACCAATCAGTCAGATATCTACTGTACCTGTGAACCATTTCCTCCTCAGAGGGTAGTTGATCACATCTCTAAAGCCCTCAGACAATGCCCCCACGTCATAAACCTTTCAACCACTGGTTAACCCCGTTGTATAGAGCATTTCCTACACAAGGCAACACAAATCACACAAATCATAAACTTAATCTACATACATATAAGAAAATCAAAAAAAATCAAAGATTAACATAACAAGAAATATAAAAAACTTTAAAATTGTATTGTAATTAAAAACCTTAAAACATTAAAATCACACACAGGATTAAAATAATAAATAACCACAATGCATTAAAAAGAGTAAGTATAAAATCTTTCAGTTGTATGCACAGCTAAACCGGTTTTACCTGTATTTGAAAACTGCCAGAGTAGATGAAAATGTGAGGCTGGCATGTCTAGTTCGGACTCTTGGAACCAGCAAGAGTCCAGTCCCTGTGCTCCTCAGAGTCCCAGCAGGAGTCCAGTCCCTGTGCTCCTCAGAGTCCCAGCAGGAGTCCAGTCCCTGTGCTCCTCAGAGTCCCAGCAGGAGTCCAGTCCCTGTGCTCCTCAGAGTCCCAGCAGGAGTCCAGTCCCTGTGCTCCTCAGAGTCCCAGCAGGAGTCCAGTCCCTGTGCTCCTCAGAGTCCCAGCAGGAGTCCAGTCCCTGTGCTCCTCAGAGTCCCAGCAGGAGTCCAGTCCCTGTGCTCCTCAGAGTCCCAGCAGGAGTCCAGTCCCTGTGCTCCTCAGAGTCCCAGCAGGAGGCCAGTCCCTGTGCTCCTCAGAGTCCCAGCAGGAGGCCAGTCACTGTGCTCCTCAGAGTCCCAGCAGGAGTCCAGTCCCTGTGCTCCTCAGAGTCCCTGCAGGAGTCCAGTCCCTGTGCTCCTCAGAGTCCCAGCAGGAGTCCAGTCCCTGTGCTCCTCAGAGTCCGGGCTGGTTCATATGGGACTAACATGTCACTAATATATTTTGGTGCGAGGCCATGGAGAGACTTGTAACAAGCAGAGCTGTTTTAAAGTCTATTCTCTGAGCCACAGGAAGCCAGTGCAGAGACCTGAGGACTGGACTAATGTGGTCGTACTTCCTGGTTCTAGTCAGGACTAATGTGGTCGTACTTCCTGGTTCTAGTCAGGACTAATGTGGTCGTACTTCCTGGTTCTAGTCAGGACTAATATGGTCGTACTTCCTGGTCCTGGTTTTACAGCCTGTTTGGTGAGCCCGGTGAGCAGGCCATTACAGGAGATGCGTGGATAATAATCTCCAGATCTGCTTTAGACACTGTTTCTAATTTTGGCGATGTTTTCAGATGGTAAAAAGCTGCTGAAGTTACTGATTTGATCTGGCAAAGTTTCTGCATTTACGTACAATCACTCTCCATGCTTCCCTATCTCGCACGCAAACTCTCTTCCTCACAATCAACGCTCTCTTCCTGCCACCATTGCATCCACTCATGCAACTATTGATCTCTTCATTGATTCTCTGCATATGCCCATCTCATTACACATGCATCTGCTCTACAAGCCAGTTCACCGAATACACTCATCTTCTACCCACCCATCAACTTCAAGCACATAAAATGTCTTCCTTTCACTTTCTCTCATTCCTCATGTTTCCGCACAGCCACCCTCTCATACAAACACTTACCTCTCACCACTCTTCACTGTACCAAGAACCATCCTGAGTGCAACCTCTTTCACACAGTTTGAGTACTGTGACATATTTACAGACATCTTTCTTCTGGTATGTACCTGCGTGTGTTTGTTGAAGTGTTTGGACGCCCAGTTCTCGATGTCAGTCTCTGAGGATGGTTTTCTTAGAGAGAACTCTGGAAACACCCCGCAGCTCGCACTTGGCATCATGTTCCTGGCGTTCCGACTGGCTTCAAACTGGGCGCAGGCACCGAGGTCCTCAGACTGAGACAGAATCCACACAGATATTAGTTACAGTCACATTTAGGTCTATGGGATTGAGTGTAAATATTCATGTGTCAGTAATATGCCCCACAACGCTGCTACTGCCAGCGTTTGGAGGACACTCACCTGGGAGGGGTGGAGGTAGGGCTCAGGAGATGCCAAGTTTGTCTGCACAGACAGACTCTTCTCTAGCAGGGCCTGAGGGAAGCCCAGTCGGTCAAAGGTACTGCGTTTCCAGTGCTGCTCGCTCTGAGCCAGGCCCTCATCTTCACTGAAGGCTCTGACCACAGGCCCGGGTAGGGGCAGAGGCACTGCTCCATCACTCTCATAGCCATCTTTAGAGCCCCCGGTCTGCCCTGAGTCCCAGCTGCTCCTCTGCTTCATGACTTGCTGAGCCTCCCAAGCCAGCCGAGCCTGAGCCAGCATGGCCTCCGAGGGAGAGGCGCAGTCTGCCTCTGTCCCCCCTGTCCCCACTGTCCCGCAGCGGGCCAGCTCCTGAGGAAGTGAGGGCTTGCGGCTCTTGCGTTTGCGATTTCCTCCAGGAGAGAAGGGCCCAGGACCGATGGTAGAGGATATGTGTGTGTGACTGGCTGACCAGGAGATGGAATCCTCATACAAGAGCTTCTGAGAGTCGCCCTCCCCGCTGTAGTCCAGCAGCAGGCGAGGGTCCCTGATAAGAGACTGGCTGTGCTGTAGGGTGAAGGAGCCCCCATAGGACCCCCCATAGCCTGTAGTAGTGCCCAGGCGGAGGAGGCGGTCTGCGGTGCGGAAGCGTGGGCTGGAGGAGGACTGCTCCACGTACACCAACTGCTTGACGTATTCCTTTCCCACAGGGCTGTACTCCAGACTCTGCGCCTTCTCAGGACACTTCTGGCGGGTCAGCACCAGCTGACCATAGGGCGACTGCTTGGGGGAATGGTAGAGGGGCACGGGGCTCTTGCGGGCGGGGGACTTGGTGGAGCCGTACAGGGAGGAGGATTCTGCAGACAACTGCATGTCTGAGGGGGGCTCCTCGTAGATGGGAGGGGGCTGATAGTCAGAAGGGGGCTCTTCGTACAGAGGAGGCTCATAGGCATAGCGAGGAGAGGCAGGCTGGGAATCGGATGAGGAGCGTCGGTTGGGGCCCGCCCCGCCCAGCTCAGCCCGCTTTAGGAAAGGGGAGTGGCGGCGCTCAGCGTAGATGTCAGCCTCAGAAGAGTTACCCCCAGAGGAATGTCTGCTGCGGGCCGGGGGCTCGGTGGAGGAGAAGCCGTTGTCCTGGTGGGCTAAGAAGCTAGGTTCACGGTCAGTTACTTTTATCAGCATGCGTTCTTTTGTTCCAGTATTCCATCTGAAAGGAGAGGTTCTGACAACAGAACAAAACAGAATCAATACCACACAACCCATCACCTTCTGTTTAAGGGTGGATGAAGTCCTAACACTTTTGTGGTTCAAAGGTGCAGCAACAAACAGCCCCAGATTTATGCAAACATACATGTCTCCAGATCTCAAGTCCATAGATAATGTTTCAGAATCAGAATCATTTTTATTGCCACGTAAGTAACAGGAGGTCACAGACTAGGAAATTGCTTTGGCTCAGTGCAACAGTCAAAAAGAGATAATAAAAATAAGAATAAAAAACACTTCTAAAGAATAAATTTAAATTTAAAATAGAGTTACAGTTACTATTTACAATATACAAGTGCACATGGTGCACACAATGTAAGGTGACAGCAGTACAGTGAAGTAAAGTGACGTATGATGGGCAGTAAAGTGACTTTATAAAGGGCGGGGGGACAGGTTAAGAAGTGTTCAAGAGTCCAACAGCAGAGGGGAAGAAACTGTTCTTGTGGCGGGAGGTTCTAGTCCTGATGGACCGCAGCCTCCTGCCTGAGGGGAGTGGTTGGAATAGTCCATGTGCAGGGTGAGAGGGGAGTGGTTGGAATAGTCCATGTGCAGGTGAGAGGGGAGTGGTTGGAATAGTCCATGTGCAGGTGAGAGGGGAGTGGTTGGAACAGTCCATGTGCAGGTGAGAGGGGAGTGGTTGGAATAGTCCATGTGCAGGTGAGAGGGGAGTGGTTGGAATAGTCCATGTGCAGGTGAGAGGGGAGTGGTTGGAATAGTCCATGTGCAGGTGAGAGGGGAGTGGTTGGAACAGTCCATGTGCAGGTGAGAGGGGAGTGGTTGGAATAGTCCATGTGCAGGTGAGAGGGGAGTGGTTGGAATAGTCCATGTGCAGGTGAGAGGGGAGTGGTTGGAACAGTCCATGTGCAGGTGAGAGGGGAGTGGTTGGAATAGTCCATGTGCAGGTGAGAGGGGAGTGGTTGGAATAGTCCATGTGCAGGTGAGAGGGGAGTGGTTGGAACAGTCCATGTGCAGGTGAGAGGGGAGTGGTTGGAATAGTCCATGTGCAGGTGAGAGGGGAGTGGTTGGAATAGTCCATGTGCAGGTGAGAGGGGAGTGGTTGGAACAGTCCATGTGCAGGTGAGAGGGGAGTGGTTGGAATAGTCCATGTGCAGGTGAGAGGGGAGTGGTTGGAATAGTCCATGTGCAGGTGAGAGGGGAGTGGTTGGAATAGTCCATGTGCAGGTGAGAGGGGAGTGGTTGGAATAGTCCATGTGCAGGTGAGAGGGGAGTGGTTGGAACAGTCCATGTGCAGGTGAGAGGGGAGTGGTTGGAATAGTCCATGTGCAGGTGAGAGGGGAGTGGTTGGAATAGTCCATGTGCAGGTGAGAGGGGAGTGGTTGGAATAGTCCATGTGCAGGTGAGAGGGGAGTGGTTGGAACAGTCCATGTGCAGGTGAGAGGGGAGTGGTTGGAATAGTCCATGTGCAGGTGAGAGGGGAGTGGTTGGAACAGTCCATGTGCAGGTGAGAGGGGAGTGGTTGGAATAGTCCATGTGCAGGGTGAGAGGGGAGTGGTTGGAATAGTCCATGTGCAGGTGAGAGGGGAGTGGTTGGAATAGTCCATGTGCAGGTGAGAGGGGAGTGGTTGGAATAGTCCATGTGCAGGTGAGAGGGGAGTGGTTGGAATAGTCCATGTGCAGGTGAGAGGGGTCGGCTGTGATACGACCAGCCCGGCCTCGAGCTCGGGCGACGTACAGGTCCTGCAGCGATGGAAGGCTGCGGCCGATCACTTCCTCTGCAGAGGGAGTGGAAAGTGTTGCCCAGCAGAACGTCATGATGGAAGGGGCCAAAATACCAGCAAGTGTGTGAAAATCTTGTGAAGACTTACAGAAAACAATGACCTCTGTCATTGCCATCATTCATTTCCATTATTTGAAAATAAATTATAAAAAAAAAAAATCATGCGATTTTCTGCATTTTGTCTCGCATAGTTGAGGAATACCTATGATAAAAAATTACAGGCATCGCATTTTTTGAAGTGGGAGGACTTGCACTGTTGATGGCTACTTCTGTGAACTAAATCATTCGTTTTTTACATTACTACATCACTATAACAATAATAAGTAATAATGAGTAATAATCTTTTTTACCACCGTGGTCACATTAACTCATTCAACACCAGGCTATTAACAGCAGTCCCAGCTATCTAGAACATTTTTTAAGATTTTTGTAGAGCCAAAGAGAATAATTAGTTCTAGCTATGGCCTTATGCTATTGTATTTGAAACGAGAGACTTGAACCAAAATACCTGATACAAACCTTGTCACATCTAAAACTAAAAAGAAATTTAAAGCGTTCTGTCCACTGTCCTCACAGACTAGTTTAACATCTCTTTCATCTGACAGGTCAGTCCGATACGTCCATTGTCTTGTACTTTCCCGCTCTTTCATCCGTTCATCTCTCTCTCATCAGAGATGACCCTGTCTCCCACACCTGTCGTACACACCTGTCGTACACACCTGTCGTACACACCTGTCGTACACACCTGTCGTACACACCTGTCGTACACACCTGTCGTACACACCTGTCGTACACACCTGTCGTACACACCTGTCGTACACACCTGTCGTACACACCTGTCGTACACACCTGTCGTACACACTTGTTGTAACCCGTCTCTCCCTCTCTAACCCGGGGGAAACATCCCTTCCTCCCTCACCTGTCGGACACGTCTCTCTCCTTCTGCTTGTCGGATGTGTCCTGCTCCACAGAGGAGCAGGTGCTGCCTTCCTGGCTGACTGCGCTGTTCCTTCCTGGGCTATTGTGTGTGGGGGGCTCGTCCCCGGGCTGAGGGGAGCTGGAGGAGGCGTCCGTGTGCTGCTTCAGGGTCTGCAGTTTAGCCAGGGGGATGATGTCACAGCTCTGCGGCCGGTGCCACACTGTGCGCTGGGTCGAGGCGTTGTAGTAGTAGAAGCGGGACGTGTTGGGGTCGAACAGCTCCCACCACTGGTTGTCCCCTGTGCGCTTGATGCGGACCCCCTGTGGAGGGTCCCACACACACTCGCCCGTCAGGAGGTTAGCATACATGCGCTCCCGAGTCCGGGGCTCAATGATCTCCACCCACTCCAATCTGCAATTCAAATTAAACAGCTTCAGTTCCCATATGTACACACTGTATATCAGTGTGCACTAGGGCTGTGCTTAAAGTGAGTTATTCAGAAAAAAGAGAGAGGTACATGATTTGAAAAATACGACCCAAGCTCCTCCCCCTCCTTTCTGATTGGTCTACGCCTACGTTTCCGTAACAATCAATCAACACATTTAAATGTTAATCAGAGAACACATCATACATATACATTATTAACACACATGCACCGAGGTTTTCAGAATTATTTGTTAACGTTTTCATGACAAAAATAGTCGATAAGCGATCGCGGTAAACCCAGAAGTAGCTATTATCATGAATTGAACATTATAGGACACATCTGCAGAGGATCTGATTATGGATATAGGTTCATATATAAATGATTATGGATATAGGTTCATATATAAATGATTATGGATATAGGTTCATATATAAATGATTATGGATATAGGTTCATATATAAATGATTATGGATATAGGTTCATATATAAATGATTATGGATATAGGTTCATATATAAATGATGACGATGATTGACAGCCCTTGGCATCACCTGATTGGTTAACGTGGACGGCATCGTGGATTCTGAGCTATAGCTAAGAGAAGGGAAGGTGGGATTTACTGCAATATTAGAATTCATAAAATGACTTATTTTATATCAACATTTAAGGCCAGGAGGTCAATTTAACACAATTCTTAACATTTGTAATTAATTTAGAGTTACAGACTATCACTTTAAACATCTATATTGCAACATTTTGTCTCATGTTGTGTTATCGATATGCTAATCCAAAGTAATGATATGTTAATCCACCTGTTAGTGTTAGCAACTGCAAGTCCTCCTTGCTTTAATAAAATCCTGAATCCAGACAGTGATTTGGATCACCTCAAAGGTTGACTAGGCCATTGTGCAGGTTTCCTGAAAATGTAATCCAAATCCTTCTATACTTGAACATCAGTGTTCAGGCTTTTACTTTGAACCAAGCAGGTCGCGAGTTTATCCACCAGCGAGCTCATCAACAGCCACAGGACGCCTCACCTTCTCCCTGTACATGGTCAGGGAGATCAGGCCTCCAGGACCAACTTGTCCTTCAGAGGTCCTGGTCCAAGGGGATAACCTAGCTCCACCTCTACCTGGTGAGTATGTTTGGGGACACCTGCGCCCCATGCTGCCAAGAGGGTGACCTCCTGCCTAGGACATCTAGCTAGCCCGACATATCCAGTGAGAGGACCTCATCACAAACTGTTTAAGGCAGGTTTAATCCTGGGTTATCCTTATTGATTCAATTGTATGCAAATGTCTCGTCTGTATCATCTACTGAGGATATGAATCATAAGGACCTGAATGTCCCCTTTGGGAAGCATCTTGTTTCAGGAATTTCTACACTCAAATTATATCCTTTAAAAGTGCAAGCCTTCAATTTAACCATCCAATGATTGATGAGACGAGCAACATGGTTGCTGCAGTATCCTTGATACTGAAACCTGCAGAGTCTCAGTATCAAGGATTGACAAGTTTGATTTGCGTCATTACTTTTGTCTACTCAAAAAGGTGGGACACAACACTCGTTTAATTTCTATATTGATCACCTGATTTTGAAGAAAATCAGACACTGCTGTTAAAGTACATCTTGACTTGTTGTTACTACTGTAGCAACAAAATCAATCGTCATTGTTGATTGATATTTTTGAGAGTCTGACAAAGCTGTGACGACACCCAGAATGGCGCACCTTGGAGCCAGACCAGTGTGGGCGGGTCCCGGCTCAAAAGTGTCCAAAATGATGTGCGCTGACATGCTGCAGTACCACCCCGGGCCTGTGGGGGTGGACCCTGACATGCTGCAGTACCACCCCGGGCCTGTGGGGGTGGACCCGGAATAAGAATTAGCCAATGCTAACATATAGCATTAGCAGACCATGGACTTTGTCATATTATTGTTTCTTTTATGTGACCTGTCTGAGCACCTCTTCTTTCTGCTTACTTCTTATGGATAAATACAGATTGTTCTTCAGAAAGGTATTTGATTATGTTAATCACTTTCCTCTGAACGTTTTAAGCTCAATGAACTTTTTTGAGACTCATGCAAATGAGCCCTGTGTTGTGGAGCACTGATGGACACAGTTGGTGGTTCTGTGTGCTGCGTGGCCTTGTGCCAGGCCGCTCCATTTAATAAGAGTGCAGCCATATTGAGCTGCGGTGGAGGGGCGGCCAGGGTTCAGGATTAAGCTCTCCTAAATGCTCTGTATGTGGCTCTTCCAGATGACCCACTTGAATTGGCTGTGCAGCACTTGTTCTCACAAACAAGAGTTCAGCAGGTGCACAGCACTACAAGAGGCCAATGCTCCAGTGTTTTCCACTGCTAAGCAGACCACACATATCAGTACAATTTACACAATACAATACAATGTATTCTTGTATTGCCCTAGGTCACAACAGAAGTCATCTCAGAGACTTAACAAAACCATTGAAATCACCAACACAGGTCAGAGAATCAACAGTTAAAACACATGAAGAATACAGTATAAAGCACACACAGAAGAAAATGTCCATACATGTTGTAGAATGCTAAAGTGTCCTGATCATCACCAATCCTTTCTGTTGGACACTAACTGTCCAACTAGACCCTCCTGCATCGACAAGGAAAAACTCTTAAAAAACCCAGTGGGAAAAAGTGAGAAACCTTGGAGGAGAACTAGGGAAACCCACAGGGAGGGAGACCCATATGAGAAAGGGATCCGCTCCTCCGGACGGACAGGCTAATGATCCAGGACCTAAGCTAGCTACAGAACGTGGACCAGTGGACGCTGAACGTGGACAGGTCCGGTGCAGGACTGAAGCACTCCCAGGCGGGTCGGGCGGGGCAGTCCGCAGGTGTAGATGGAAGAGGCCAGGCTCAGAGATCCCGTCATCGTACCATGAAACAGACAATGGGACAACGGGTGAATAGCAATGAACAAACTACAGTCAGAATCCTAAAAATGCTAAACAGATAAAGTAGGAAGGAGGAGAGGATAGTGCTCAAGTTACCATACTTCTCCAGCAGGGGGCTCCCTATGCAGCTTGACTAACACTCTGAGGAGTTTAACCTTCTCCGAGTCTTACCTTCCTAGCCATATGCTAAACTAAAGAGGACTGTTTTAAACCTAGCCTTGAATAAAGAATAACATACAGCATAATATATAACATAATATACAACATAACACAATACATTATTGAATAATATATAACATAATATATAACATAATACAGCATACATATATAATATATACACCATATATTATATAATTACCTAATTATATGCTAAATTAAAGTAAAGTGCTTTAAGCCTGGCCTTGAATGTGGAGACCGTATCTGCTTCCTTAACATAAATGGGAAGCTGATTCCACAGTAAAGGAGCTTGGTAGCTAAATGCTCTGCCACCAACAGTGACCTTTGAGACCTTAGGGACCACCAGACGTCTGGCGTTTTGTGAGCGCAACGCTCGACCTGGTTGATACGACACTAACGTGTCTTGGAGATAAGAAGGAGCCAAGCCATTTATGGCTTTATATGTTAAGAGTAGGATTTTAAACTTTATTCTGTACTCCACAGGGAGCCAGTGGAGTGATTTTAACAACAGTACGGCAAAACATTTCCATAAAAAACACTATAAGAAATTAATCTTATGATCCGTTCATGGTTTCTCATGCACAGGGACTAAAGATAAGCAGAAAAACACTTGAATTTGGGAAAATATCTCTTATTTTAGTTTAGTTTAAAGATGTATCAATAGTAACTTTGGTCTTGATCTCTTCTTCATAAACAAAGTCAACATTAGTTTCACAACACAGAATTTAGTGGCAAAAAACAATAACACATATATACAGTGCCTTGCGAAAGTATTCGGCCCCCTTGAACCTTTCAACATTTCAGGCTTCAAACATAAAGATATAAAATTTTAATTTTTTGTCATGAATCAACAACAAGTGGGACACAATCGTGAAGTGGAACGACATTTATTGGATAATTTAAACTTTTTTAACAAATAAAAAACTGAAAAGTGGGGCGTGCAATATTATTGGGCCCCTTTACTTTCAGTGCAGCAAACTCAGTCCAGAAGTTCAGTGAGGATCTTTGAATGATCCAATGTTGTCCTAAATGACTGATGATGATAAATAGAATGCACCTGTGTGTAATCAAGTCTCCGTATAAATGCACCTGCTCTTTGATAGTCTCAGGGTTCTGTTTAAAGCGCAGAGAGAACCATGAAGACAAAGGAACACACCAGGCAGGTCCGAGATACTGTTGTGGAGAAGTTTAAAGCCGGATTTGGATACAAAAAGATTTCCCAAGCTTTAAACATCTCAAGGAGCACTGTGCAAGCAATTATATTGAAATGGAAGGAGTATCAGACCACTGCAAATCTACCAAGACCCGGCCGTCCCTCCAAACTTTCATCTCAAACAAGGAGAAGACTGATCAGAGATTCAGCCAAGAGGCCCATGATCACTCTGGATGAACTGCAGATAACTACAGCTGAGGTGGGAGAGTCTGTCCATAGGACAACAATCAGTCGTGCACTGCACAAATCTGGCCTTTATGGAAGAGTGGCAAGAAGAAAGCCATTTCTCAAAGATATCCATAAAAAGTCTTGTTTAAAGTTTGCCACAAGCCACCTGGGAGACACACCAAACATGTGGAAGAAGGTGCTCTGGTCAGATGAAACCAAAATCGAACTTTTTGGCCACAATGCAAAACGATATGTTTGGCGTAAAAGCAACACAGCTCATCACCCTGAACACACCATCCCCACTGTCAAACATGGTGGTGGCAGCATCATGCTTTGGGCCTGCTTTTCTTCAGCAGGGACAGGGAAGATGGCTAAAATTGATGGGAAGATGGATGGAGCCAAATACAGGACCATTCTGGAAGAAAACCTGTTGGAGTCTGCAAAAGACCTGAGACTGGGACGGAGATTTATCTTCCAACAGGACAATGATCCAAAA